ATGCTCATTCATTTTGGGCATGAGAGAGAGCCGACTCTGCTGATGCTTCTTGAACATTTACACAGGTATCATTGCCCGTGCAAAACAACGTTGGTGATTTCAGGCACAGTTCCCCACTCACTACAAGCGTACCAGTCCACTGCACGTCTCTTCCATGTTTTAAGCAACTGCTGTTTTGGCAAAATGCAACAGCTTATTTATTTACTTCATTTACAACCCATCTCCCTGAAGTGGCTTACAACATTGTCTCCTTCAGTTTATCCTCACTACCACATTGTGAAGTACATTAGGCTGCAAGTATGTAACTGTCATTGGAAGGAAAAATCACAAGACTGCGACTGACTTATTTTAGCCGTGTCACGCGGAACTCACTAGAAAAAGCAATTATGCTTGCATTGGTTAGTGGCAAAAGGAAACCTGGCCACCAAAGAACACAGTGGCTAGACACCATAAAAGTTGACACCAGTCTGAGCATGGAACAACTCAAAGAAACAGTACAAGATCAGAAAACATGGAGAGAGCTGGCCCATAGAATCACCAAGATTTGAACATGACTGAATGGCTAACAACAACAACATGTAACTGGTCCAAGGTCATCCAGCAAGTCTCCATAACAGAGTGGGAATTCAAGTTTGGTTCTCCCAGCTCCTAGTCTGACACTGTAATCACTAACCTCACTTGCCCGTGACTCCTAAAATCAGAATTCATCAGCGTAGGACCTTGATACCTTGCATGCCTCTTCCACAGCTTCTGAGGTTTAGCAGAATAAATGTTTGCAAATTAGGATGTGTTCCATGAGAATTTCTGCTTTCTTTGTTGTTTTGGTACAAAAGCTCTAATGCTAGGCTGTTGAACATGAGAAGCCCTGTCATGAGGCAAGGAATCTTGTCCACACCTTCCAAAATGGGGCAAGGATGATACTCCTATAACTGAATAATAGGTTTGTATGTAACATCTTCCAGCTGTGTCTTTGCTGTGCCTTCATTTTTTACTATATCTGTTTTATCTGGACAGATACACAACCTAATGTACGAGGGAGGAAAAATGCATGTTCTGAAAGAGAGAAGACTCCACACCAATTAACAGTGGTGTCTTCTCCCAGTATTAAGTGCTTTCCCTGGTGCAGGAAGATCTTTCACTGTCAGGGAAGATGCTGTTAAGGGAATGATTCTACAGGATCAATCCTATATTTGTCCTGTAATATGTTGATCCATATAGAAAAGGCTGGAAGAGGCACTTTGGGGAATTACTAATCGAAGAGTGACCGATCCTTACGCATCTTTCCCTTTTTGAGTAATTTTTTCCTGCACCAATTGTAGCTAGTGTAAACCACAGCTGCAACAAAGAGCCAATGATCTACATAATCTGCTGCTCAACTCTGGTTCTTTATTGAACTGCCTTGCATTCCTTCCATGTCTATGTCGTTTCTTACAGAAAAGGGTTCTTTATTTGGCTGAGTTGGAAAACAAAGTTGGCTGTGTCTTGCTGAATTTTATGTCAGGGAGTATGGGGGAGTCATTGGAATTGCATTTCTTCACCAATGCAGTGTTTAAAACCTTAGAGTCAGAACTTTTAAATTACATTTTAATGCCAGTTTGGAGCCAGAACAAATATTATTATTTTTTATGCTCCTTCCATAGTGTGTGATATATTAAGGAAATTAATCTGTCTGGGGGTTTTTACGCATACCTCTTGATGCAGTCAGCAAGATGCTGTCCTGATGCTTTCATTGGCAGGAAGGCAGGTGGAAAAGAAGCCATACAGAAGGGTCATCATGCGAGTGTTTGGCCCCGGACAGGAAGGGCTTTATGTGTGGTGGGGGGATCTGTACTAGCAAATCCTCTTCAGGGCTGCCTTTGACCTTTTGGCCACTAATGGGATGCTGTCTTAAAGTTGCTGTTAGGCAAGCAAGATTTTGTCTCTGGAAGGGGGAAATGGCTTTCTTCTGTCAGAGATCTATCAGTGTTGGTAAAGAGATATGCACAGGTTTGCAACTGAGGTTTATGTCATTGTAGTTGATCATCTTAACAGGCCAATTTAATCATCCCCAGTGCAACAGCTCCTGTATCAATGCTGTATTTGCTGCATATCCTTTTTGGCTGCCCATTGTTATTTTATTTTGTCATGCAGGCAATCAGTAACAAGATTGGTCAGCTGCCCAATCATCCTGTTGGCTCCACCACTGTTGTGCGGAACTACGTCAAACTCTTGTTTGAGAAACTCAGGAATAAATGGGTAAGAGCTGGATCAGATATCGAGACAAAAGTAGCCAAACGTCAGCCTCAGCCACACTGATCCATGGTTCCCTGGCTACATGCAAAGCTCCATTTGCTTTATGAGCAAAGGTGGCATACAGTTCAAAAACCTGAATATATAGCATATGGCATTGGGGAAGGAGGCCAGTGGCATATTGTGAAAAAGGATACTGTGGTGTGCTGGATAAACTTGAGTCTTACATGCTAAGAGATTAATGATCTCTCGTAATACAATGTTTAAAATCCAGAACTTTAGGCAAAAATGCATTTTCTTTCACAGCCCAATATGTTACTAGTGGACAGATCATCAGCCCAAATTGAGTTTCTTCCTCTCAACTACTTGGTCACCATATTGACAGAAGTGGATCATCAAGGTAACAATCCTCCTGCAGTAATGGGATAGAAACTATACTTGCATAAGTGGCTGATGTGCAGCCAAAATGACCTCGGTTCCTACAGACACTGTTCGTTGGAATGTGTTTTGGGCTTCAGTTGGATTGGAAGATTATTATGGTTCCAAGGTCAATCCTTTCTCTTTATTTATAGCACCTCTCCTAAGTGAGACAGTGTTTTTAACACCACCTAGTGCCAAAATATATTGTCAATGTCTGGCCCACTGCACATATTACATGTGAGGGCAGGTAACCAGCGGACTGCTTCCCTATGCTCTAGCTGCACATCAAATGATTACATATGACAGCTCCCATACTACTGGTACACCTTCATTGTTCCTGCTGTATTGGGAAATAACTGTGGGACCAGCCTTATGCATATGATTGTGCCAGGAACTATACCTTGGATAAGTATCTGCTGTGCAGCCAAAATGACCTCCATTATCGAACTGGATTGGTATGTACTTGATTGTAGCTAAACTGTATGAAGGCATTTTTCCCAATACATCAAGGTTCTATCAAGAAAGTAAGATTTGAGTCCAGTAGCACCTTAAAGCCCAACAAGGTTTCCAGGGTATACATTTTTGAGAGTCAAAGCTCTCTTTGTCAGATCTTGTATTTCTACTGCAGATCAACATGGCTACTCACCTGAAACTATCAAGAAAGTGATTCTCTCTCTCTCTCTCACACACACACACACACACAATTACCCTTTATCAACCTTACCAGCTATTAATACTTTCAGTGGCCTTTCTCAGGACAGGTGGCTTCTGTGGAACGAGGTACCGTGAATGTGAGACTTGTTGAAGAGGTAGCCCTGAAGCACACTACAATGCTCTTGGGCCTTTAGTACTGCTGCTCAAAGATGAATTGGTTACTTCAAGCAACATCTCAGCCTTGCCACACACATCCACGGATGCAATTAAACAGCCGTAAGATAAATGAACTGCTGGTGGTAGGAAAAGAAGTATGGAATTGGGAAGATCTTGGTTTTCAGAGATAATATTGAAGGTTCTGTTGCTTGAAGAGAAATTACTATATCTATTTTTGTTTACACTTTTATGAATGGGATACATTGCAGAAGTTGTACCCAACATGGGAACCCCTGTGGGGAACTTACAGACAAGTGCCAAACCACAATCAGTTCTTCTTGCTACAGTCTGCATTTTACAGCAGTTCATGTATGTAAGAAATTGAGACTGTGTGCTGAGTGGGAAATGAATAATATGTGTGTATGTGTGTGTTAAAATAATAACTTACTGGTGGCTGTTGTATACTGATGTGTATAGAGAAGGTCCACTTAAGTAACTGTGTGGAAGTCCTGCATTATTAATGAAAAATTACTTTGTAAAATAAGAACAGTTGTATAGTTTTGGATGTGTCTTTTCGGTTTTGTAACCAGATAGGGATGTTCTAAGATGTCTCATCTGTTTGGCATAGATACTTCAAGGGAGCTAACTGTTTTTGAGAACGTTATCAGTAACTGAGCCACTGAAATGGTCTTCTGCCTTGTTAACCTTGGCTGGATTCTGGAACGTAAACACCTCAAAATCCTGCTGATAGCAGTCAGTAAGAAAGAGCAGGGCATATCACTATTTTTTTCAATTAATCGGAATAGAAAATGTTTAACTTCAACTGGATACTGCCCACTGTTTCTAGAGTGTACCACTGTGAAGAGAAGTTGCTGTTTTAAAGCTACTTTGTGCCTTGCCTTCAGATGATTTCCCAACCATGTTTATGTAGCATGGGGCTTCCCTATTTGTTTTCTTAGCTGTGATCTGTGACAGCGATAGAAAATATGTACCCTCGCTTCCCCACATGCTGGCATACCACTAAACTGATGTAATTGCAGCTAGAATAACTGTCCTACAAGTGCTTAACTTGTAAACAGCATATTTAAAAAGAAATTGAATTCAAGGGCTGCTATCCTGAGCAAGAGAGAAGCCTACAACAGTGCAGGAGTCCAATCACAGTCTGTTCCTTTACTCACTCACTCACACACACACACACACAACATGTTGGCAACTCTTTCACTATAGCACCATATCAAATAAAAATTGTATGGCAGATGGGTTTGATCTTATGTATTGCAAATGTAAATATGACTATGGAAAATCTCTTGCTTGCCCCTTCTCCCCCTCCCTCAGCCCTCTGTGACTTCTGAAAAGTAGGAACTGGGAGAGCTTTGTGGGCCAAATGGTATTGAGCATGAAACACTGTAGTGGGGAGGTAGAATTGGGTGAAATTGCTACAGCCTTCCTCATCCAGGGGCATAAGAAACTCTGCTGGTGGACAAGGGAGAGAGGAAGGTAATTATTCCCAATTCCTCTCATTCACTGTAGACTCACTTATGCCCCTCCTTAACTACTCTGTGGCGTTTTGTTCACAAGGCTTCCCTGACCATAGCATTAGTTATTCTAGGATAATGAGTAGGCCAGAAAGATTGGCATTTACCGTGATTCACAGGATCCCACCAATAGAAATATTTTTGGCATTCATTTTCTAGAATTGGACACCTGTTTAAAGTTTTACATTTCTCGCCTTCTCTTTTGCAAGACTTCCCTCAGTCCTGCACTACAGCTATTAAATTTACTGGAGCACTCAGTAATAAGGAAGAGATTTATTACTATTTAAATAAGCAGAACCACCTGATCATTCTTCAAAGAGTTTCCCTTTATTTGTGCCATGAAAGTGAGTTTAGTATATTTGTTTGGAACAAAAAGTTAAACAATTTCTAATGCAAAAAGATGGTATGAACCTGTTGGGCTGTCATATAATCAGACTTCTCAAAATACCAAACAGTTTGGGCCACTGAATGCACAAAAGGAAAAGTGCAGGTAGATATTCATTAATACTGTGGTTTTTAAATGTATTACTTTTTTGCTGACATATTTAATAAACATTTTAAAAAGGCTGTCAGATGTTCATGGGGTACAATCCCTTAATCGTTATGTCACACTTTGTTTTACTGGAGCTTTTGTAGGGCTCCTGAACTGAGAGAGTGCTGTTGGGGTTAGCCTATTATGTATACTTTGCAGTCCAGCCCCATTAAAACCTGATGGTTCTGTTGCTAATGTTCCTAGAATACAGATTTGACACTGTAATATATGCTGTGTATGCTTACTGTTTAACTGCTGGATGGAGGGCCAACCTGTTCAGATCTCGATTGGCTTTACAATTGGCTTTCTTATGTATCTCAGATTTGAACTGGGCTCACTTGGTTTGAAAGGAGCCAGTGCCCCATAGGGCCGTGGTAAGGGGAGCACATTTTCATCATCTGGGATGTAGGCATTGGGGCGCTGTTCAGCTGTGGTGTGCACACTAGTTGGCAAGGCAAGTTTTTCCTCATCTTCAAGACGCTGTAAAAACAATTAATAATTGGTTAAAGGCTGTCCATTTGTGAAGAGCTCTTAGGCTTCAGTTGCACCAGAAACGTCAGTGGCTTGCAAAATCACTGTTGCAACAAATTATCCCAACCAGGTCCTACTAGAGAAGTGGAAGAGATGCTATAATGCTTTTACTAATGTCTGTAAGAAGAACTGTATTGAGTCACCAATGCAGTTGCCACCAATTTGGACAGGTAATGTGCTCAGCTTGCATTGTTTCCCAAGACATTTTAGCTAGTCATTCCCATGCCAAAACAAAACAAAACAAACCCTTCACAGCAGTATCCCAATTCAGTTCTGAGGTTTTCTCCCAGTTTGGAGAACAACATAGAGACCCTCCCCTTCTTTCTTTACCCAGTTTATATTGTTCATAAGAATTACATACATTGCTTTTTTTTTCTTGATAACACATCTTGAGAATGTTAACTTAAGCAAGAACTCAAGGCTGGGAGAGTGGAATCTCAGGGCTGATTCACAAGAGTATTCTCGTTATTTAGTCCTTTGCAGCTCAAAGGGTAAACTGTTTCTGTTGAAGAGTGTGCACTATGAAAGCTCAGTCTCTTAGTGGTGGTTCACCAGTATCACATACCATGCTGAGTGTGTGCCTGTCATTCTTTGGGTGTCTCCCTCCCCCCACGGTTTTTGAGCTACCATGGATTTCAAGAAAGACGCAAGCTGTATGTGATCCTTGCATGGGCACATCCTATAAGGCCAGTGGTGCCCATGGGTGGGTGAGCAGGTGCTTGCCAGTGTTATTTCCTGGTGCCCACTTTCTTCTTCCTCAGAAGCAAACAGCCAACCCACCACAATCGGTAGTTTCAAAAGAGCCCAGATGACATTATCTTTGGGTCAGCAGGGAACATCTGCTTGGATACAGCTGCTTCCATCCTAAGGAGATGGTTGGTACTTCCCAGCATTTTGGGGTTGGACCCAGCCCCCATGGCAGTCATTTTGTTGCGCTATCTAGCACCCAGCAGTTGTTCTTGAAATTCCCATAATAATAATAATAATAATAATAATATACTTTATTGTCACTGTATATAGTACAACGAAATTAAAGGTGCAATCATTTCAGTGATCTACAGCCATACTCATATACACTCACACAACCATTCACAACCATCCCATAACTCCCTTAAGGTTCACATTGCAACTTAAACCACCAATGTCACCCAAATTCCAATTTCAGACAGCATTTAAAGCAATAATAGCTCTCGAATAAAAACTATTTTTAATCTGTTTGTCCTTCTTTTAAGTGTCCTATATCTTCTACCCGAAGGCAGCAGTTCAAACAGGGAGTGTTCAGGGTGTGACAAATCCTGCAAAATGTTCTTTGCTTTTTTCAAACATCGAGAGCTATACAATTCCTCCAGTAATGCCCATAGGCTCAATGAGACTGCTATAAAGTCTTGGTCTTGGGTCTGAGAAGTTCTTCCTGCAACCAAGAACCACCAAACAGAGACAGAGCATGCTTCTATCAACAGAATTCCATGCAACTGATGGCAGGGAGCCAGTTATCGAGCCCTGTCGGAAATCCTCCAGGGACAAAACACACACATGACCTGGCCTACAGCTGCATCCCCAGAGATACTCACTTGGGCTCTGGCTTCAGCAGCTGCCTTGTACATGTCTTCATCACGCAGCACCTTCAGCCACTCCGTTTCTATTTCCTCTGGTAGTGCTAGACCCTTCTCGAGCCTGGCAGTGATGGACATTAAGAAGTGTTCTTTGTCCCTCATTTCTTGTTGCAGTTTAATGGCAACTGCTTGACTCATCGATAGCTCTGCAATAAGAGCCATCATCTTTCTTGTTGTGGCTTTTATTTTCTCCTGGAGTCTGTTCATCTGGAATAAGCAGGATTAGCAATATGATGTCAAGGAGGAAGGATGAGTGTCTCCCCCTCATTCCCTCCCTCCTGCCATATAAAAACAAAAAATCCCATGCCAGCTGATGCCTTGCAGTTGAGCATATAACAATTACCTAGAACTGGGCTACTTCCATACCAGGGGTTTTTCCATGGTGGTCAAGTTGCTAATGTGATACTGGATTAAATCACCCTTGCAACAGGGATTCTAGACAGCAGACAGTAATCTATTTTCCCTCCATTGTTAGCTGTGGTTTCCCTTTCACACCTGATGGGCATTGAGCCTCTGCTGCTGTATTCTCATGTTACTCATCAGGATTCTCTCCCAGTCCTGTGTTTTGTTTTTTAATTTCCAGGAGGTTACCTTACCCCAGTTACGCCGCTCTTTTATGTTAGAAAGACTCAATGTTTTACCTTCAGTGGTATTGTCTGGGAGGTTTGCTAACACTCCCTATCAAGAAAGACTTTGTCCATGTAAATGAAGGCACCCAGAAATGGTAGCCCATGTTCTACTTCATTGTGATTTTTATGGGGAAGTGCGGGACCATATAATTAAACCTATTGTGTCTAACTTTCACAGTCTATCTGAGGCGAAGTTAGTATCTCTCTTACTATCTGACCGATGTTCCCACATTACAAGTTCAGTTGCAAGGTACCTTCTGGCTGCCATAACAATCAGGGAACAAAAGTCTAGCTTTTCTATGCGATGCTTGATGGTTTTTATAATTGAAATTCTCTGTAAATTGGCCATGTTGTACCTTTTCTTCTTTTTATGCCAATAAAGGTATTTGGATTGGATTGGATAATTTCCAGGAGCATTGATAACATTGCATAAGAATAATGCAATATGTTTTTAAAAACCCGTTTTAAAAAACCCACATGTTTGCAGAGGCACCTCCCCACTCCCTCTCTAAAAGGCAGGCTCAGGTATGAGTAATTCTCTTGTGGTTTCCTTTTAAAAACTTTCACAAGCATGAGTAATAATGCACAGGAATAACACCATAGCTTTAAAAAACTTTAAAACAACAACACTGCGCATTTGTAGTCACCTCCAGAGATCTCCTTCCTGTCTAAAAGGCTGGCTGGGTGACTCTCTTCTGTTCTACTAATTGAAGCAGTTGAGCTGTTTCCCTTTCAGGCCCAATAAACTGCTTGTGCTCACAGAATCCTGCCTGGGAAATACCAGTTTTTAAAAGGTTGAAATAAAGCTTTTTAAAAAAATGACAGAAAGGGCTGTTAATGGTCTGTGTACAACAGAGGCCAAGGTCATGGGTCAGGGGGCTGAAACATGGAAACTCCTTGGAGTGAAAGCAGCCCTGGAATGAACTGTAGGATAGCTACGTGCAAATTATTTCCTATACTTTGAGTTGATAAAGAGCTGTAATTATTTAGTTAATTCATTTGTATCCTGTCTTTCTCCACGATGGGGACCCAAAGTGGCTTAAATCATTCTCTCCTCCATTTTATCTTCACAACAACCCTGTAAGGTAGGTTGGTCTGAGAGAGTGTGACTGGCCCAAGGTCACCCAGCGAGCTTCAATGACACAAGTGGGGATTTGAACCTGGATCTCCCAGATACTAGTCCGACACTCTTAACTACTACACCACACTGGCTCCCCAAGTACATAGGCAATATCATCAATAGAGAATTACAATTCTTTCTACTAATTTAGGTATTCAAACATTTAGCTCTTGAGTAGCACATAACGAAAAAACTGGGCGTAATTCTCTTAGGGTAAAAAAAATCTTGGCTATTTTTCTATATAGTTGTGTCAATGTAGGGGCCTAGGGCATGCACAGCATGCACAGCAAAGATGCACATGCCATTGATGACAGTGTAGGGTTGCCAAGTGTTACCTTCCTCTGCAGTGGGGGACTCCCGGGCCACGTCACCAGGAAGTGACGTGACGATGCCGGGCACGCTGGGGGCGGGGCCACGACCATCCAAGGGAAAACCATATAGTTTTCCCTCGGATGACCGTGGCCCTGCCCCCAGCGTGCCTGGTGACGTGCACGTCGGGGCGGAGTTTCCCCTGGGGCCCGATCCGGCGGTGGGGGGGAACGGGCCTCTGGGGTGGGGGTTTCCCCGCCCCCCGGGGGGACTTGGCAAGCCTATGACAGTGCCATACAAACAGGCCTCATTAACTACTGGATGTTCATTCTTTTCAATACATGTTGCGTTTATAGCCACAGTTCCTGAAAGAACAAATTATATGCTTGGTGAAAGATGCCTACATCTGTATCACTCTCCTTAGCTGGCTTGTAGGATTAAGTTCAATAACAGTCATACCTTTTTTGCCAATAGCAGTGTGTCCTCCTTGCCATTTTCCACCTTGAATCTGATCTTCTCTGTGAACTGGGACACTTGTTCAAAAATAAAGTCCTTCTCAAGCAGTCTCTCTTCTTTCTGTGCTAGCTGTATTTCTAACTACAGTGAGAGCAAATTCATAAACACACGATAAGCAAGAACAAATTATGTCAAAACATTTCCTGAAGAATAGAAAACTGCTAATTTCGTCTGGGCCTTGTTGACTATTGGAGTAGTGAAGGAAAAAGCTGCCTGGCAGAGTCCAGAAGCTGCAGCTCCAACTCTACAGAGGCAACAGCTCCTGCAAACCGTGGCTGGCTGGTGATTAGAGGAAGGCTGAGTAGGGTGGACGTCCATTGCTTGGCCTGGGCTACTGTGGGTTTCGTTGTGTTTTTCTGGTGCACCATAAATCTGCTGCACAGCTGGTTAGTTCCTCCCACAGGTGGAGAGGGAGACCAGAGTAAGCTGCAAGATGTTTCTAGCTGGCCAGGGAATCCCAGTTAGATGGGGAGATGGGAAGTGTGGTGGTGGGCAGAGTTAGGTTTAGTAGGAGGCTGAGATATGGACGTGCTCAGTCCTAATCTCCTTCCCATCCCTGTCTCCCTCAGGATGGGAGGGGGGATGTATATAATCACTGGAGATGTGCTCCTGTCCTTTGTTTGCGTCAGGTGTTTGTGAGTCTTGTTCTTGTGTGAGAGAAAAATACCTGTTGGTGAGCCTGGGGTGGGGGGATGTGGAAACCTGCTGCATCTCCTGGCCACGATACAAACTGCCAGACTTGCATCATCCTCTCTCTCTCTCCGCCTTCTTTCCCTCTGTTGAATTCCAGGAGGGAGAATAGGAGGAGGAAAGGGGGGGGTGGAGGATGGTGAGGAGGACAAGGAGGGGGACAGAGCGGGGGGGGGCATCACGGACAGGAGATGTGGGAACGAGAATCAGGAGTTCTGGTTGTCTGTCTTGAGGTGGGAGGTACGGAGAACTGGTGTGGGTGCCAGGCATGCGATGGCAGAGGATTCTGCTGGCATGATGGTCCGTGAGTTCCTGGTTGAGCACCCCGATCCTGCCAACTTGGACCTACTTCAGTACTGGGAGCGCGAGACCACAATATGGTCTGGTCTTGCCAGTGTGGCCATCAATCTGCTCTCCTGCCCTCCAACTAGTGTCCAGAGCAAGTGGGTGTTCTCCCATCTGGGAGACATGCTTTGTGCACATTGAGCCCACCTAGACCCAGGCAGGGTGGATGAGATGTCATTTCTGATTTTGGACCCCTCCCATGTTCCACACCTTTTTTCAAAAATCTTCTTTTCTTTTATTCTACTCACGCTCCTTCCTATTCTACTTTGTCCTTTGTCGCCTTCCTTCCATCCCCATTTCTTATCCTTCACCTATACTGCACATCACTTCTCTAGTGAGCTTCAAAGTGTGCTAAAGTGAATGTAAGAATGGAAAGGTTGTGGTGGTGGGTGTGAGTTTAGAGAGCACAGCCAAACTCCAGTTGATTCTTGTGAAAGCTGGGCAGTAGCAGCAGCTTAAGAGGTAACAGCTGCCCAAGCTTGCAGTTTAGTTCCACTTGTCTACTGGGTGTGTGTTTGCTTGAAATTACTTTGCCATGAAAATTGCTATGCCCCAGGTGCGAGAAAGGGAGTTTATTATGAGAAATTAAAACAAATATGAGAAGAACCAAAACGGACAAGGAGACAAATGGAAGATGATACCCACCACACTAGCAGGGAAACCCACCCCACTTTACTAGCATCTACCACATCCAAAATAAATACCCAGGATTACAGACTCTTCAGTATTGACATCAACACAATCCCCCTATTAGAATCCCCAGTCCTACCAAGACTTACAAATACTAAGGGCACCCAGTATAACTTATTTCAACTAGATAGATATTGGTAAGTTTGGGTGATTACATATTACCTCAAAAGTTTCTTGGCTCCTTCCAAGATCTCCCCCCCAACCCCACACACAAATTTAATCTAAAAATATGTGGAAAACGGATTTGGAAAAATCCAGCTACAGCCTCCCCCCAACATGTAAACCCAATTATATTTAAAAGGTACCAACCCATAGAGAGCTAAAAATATTGAAAGGACCCCCTGCCATGACGCATTTTGCAGTGGTATCCACTGCCCTTTTTCAAACTCCCCAAAGTGCTTGTGGGCCCAACATGCTTGAGGACCCCTAAGCTAAATGTACAACAGCCATTTATTAGGGTAGTCTCCTAGAGGCAGGAATGATATTACCTCATCTATCCTTTTGAAAAGCTCTGGCAGACTGGGGTCTTTCCCAGGCAGTGCTCGTGTTCTGTTGTGACTTTTTGGATCTGTAAACAGTTTCTCCAGACTTCTAATTCTGTCCTTGCACTGAGAAAACTATCAAAACAGGAGTGAAGAATGGGTCATGAATAATCAGTGTGTGAAGTTAGCAAACATTTTTTTCCTTTCCTAGTTGAAGAGAACTCACTTATATTTAATAATATTAACCAAAATTTCTTGCCACTGGCCTTGCTCTCCCAGAGCCCTGTCAGACAGAGATCCTAGGAAAAGTTGGCAGTTGACCTTATGACTAAGTTAAGCACTCATTTCCGACAATACATGCATTCTGTGACGTTTATCACAAGCAATTCTGTAGAAATACACTTTGCTGATCTAAAATGTAAAATCAGCAAGGTGATTCACTTTATGGACTTCTTCTTTTTACAAGTTTGCACAATCTAGGCCTTCCTGTTTTCAGAAATTGCACGTCACACACACAAAAATTTTTAACCCACCCCAAATCAGCAGTTTTAAAAGATGATATTTGCTTTGAGAATAGGCTTATTCCAATGATCAACCTAGGAGATTTTTATCCTCCAAAGACCTCAGAGTGGCATACATGTTTCTTTTCGGGTTGCCAGGCCCCCTCTGGCCACTGGTAGGAGATGGGGGTAGGGTGGCCAGATCCAAGCTGGGAAACTCCTGGAGATTTGGGGATGGCGTTTAGGGAGGACAGGGACCTCAGTGAGGTACAATGCCACAGAGTCCACCCTTCCAAACATCCCTGTTCTCCAAGGAAACAGATCTCTGTAGTCTGGAGATAAGCTGTTATTCCAGGGGATCCCCAGGTGCCACCTGGAGGCTGGCATCCCTAGCTTCTGCCACACCCATTCTATCCTTACAAGAACTCTGTGAGGTAGTTAGGCTGGGAGAGTGACTGGCTGAAAGTCACCAAGCAAGTTTCATGGCAAGGGGTGGGTGGGTGGGATTTGAACCTGGATCTCCCAGACCCCCGGCCTAACAGTCTTAACATGACATCATGCTGGCTCTCTCAGATTACACTTTGCTTTAAAACTCATGATAGATTGAAATTATATATTAAATTAACAGATCTTGAGGCTTTGGTGGTACAATTTCAGGAAAAGGAGAATGGTAATAAAGGTGATCAAAACCAACACAGCTACATAAAGTGTGCTGCAAAAGGGAAAAAAATAACAAGAAAAGAAAGAGCCAAACCACGCATTTTACAAGCAACAGGATGTGGTTACCGTTCCAGGAAGAGCTCAACACTATACCAAATGAAAACATAACCCTCATGAAGTTCCCACAAAACGCAAACAAAATGTAGGTACCACAAGACAGAACAACACTTACAGAGGTACTCACCCCAAGATGAGTGAATGCCAGAATACCCCTGCCCTACCTTTCTTAGGCAGCACTTGATAACAGTTTTATTTATTTAAAAAAAATGGTATGGCACCACTCCAGACCTCTCCTTGAGGTAGCTCCCAACAATAAAACAAAAACAAGGCTATAAAAACAATTAAAACAAATCATACCAATAAAAACGTCAATAAAACAATCCAAGTCAATATTTAAAAATTCCAATAAAAGCAAGCTGTCTAAATTTATATTGATAAAATAATCATCATCAAGCTGGGACTAGAGTATAAAACAGTAACATAAAAACCCACAAAACATAAAAAGTTGTAACAATGTGGAAGCTCTCTAAGTACAGTCTGGAGGCCAGAGAACACTGGCTTGCAGCAACAGCATGAAAGTTCTATTATTTAAATTTAATTTTCTGTCACATAATTAATGATTGAGTGAGATATGGCAGTCTAAAACACAGCACTGTGCAGAGTGTGCAACATGTAATGGTTTGAATGTCAGATGGGGACCTGGGTGACTGAGGTTCAAATCCCCAGTCAACCATAAAGCTCACTTGGTGATGCTGGGCCACAGAGAGAGATAACATGTAAAGGAAAAAGAAAATGAATATCGATCAAGTTATGCATAAGTAAATAAAAGTACATTTTTCAGAGGACCTACCACTAAGAAGTTCAGTTCTACATATCTGCTGTGTTTGCAATACATAAGCAATGGCTTATCACCACATGCATCCTATGCTTATAAGTAGTGGATAGTCATGTGGTACCACTAACCTCCTCATTACCATTACCAACAGCTATGTACACAATGTTGGCATTATACCTGTACTGATATAGTGTTTCCACAGTATTGGTAAATTACTTCATATTGGCAGGCAGATATATCAGGGAACATGTAAAAACAATCTGGTATATGGTTATGTAGATTTTCAGGACTATAGTGCTTTTATTAACTAATGCCTTCAGGCTTCAATAGCCATGTGTTTCCTTATTTACCACCTTCAAACCAAAATTCCACTGGGAAAAGATACTGATTCCATTTAGACATCACACCAAATCATAGTTAAGAAAAATGTAATTGTGGTTAGGTGTGATACCTGAATTTTCAAACCATGTCTTGCAAATCATGGTTTAACTGTGCTTTGGTGTGATAACATTGCTAAGCCATAATATTTAGCTCCTAGGATGTGAGTGATCCAGGTCAAATGCTTATGCAGTCATAAATTTCCTACACCAGAAGTCTCCAAAGGTTCTTTTACTAAATAAATGTGACTGCTGAGCTGTCTCCCTCTAAGCTGTGGAGTCTTGTGAGCAGGGCTCTTTTTGTAGAAAAAGCCCAGCAGGAACTCATTAGCATAATAGGCCACAACCAACACCAGAAACTCATTAGCATATTAGGCCACGCCCTGCGAGCACAGCTTATTAGCACATTAGGTCGCACCCCCATGTTACCAGAAGTGTGGTTATCCAGCCACACCCACCTTTTGCTTGTTATTCTGTTTACCTTGTTTGTTGTCAAAACCCAGGGCCTTTTTTTGTAGCAGGAACTCCTTTGCATGTTAGGCCACACACCCCTAATGTAGCCAATCCTAATGAGTTTCTGCTGTTGGGTGTGGCCTATTATGCTAATTAGTTCCTGCTGGGCGTGGCCAACTTGGGAGCCAGCCTGAACTCCGTTCCTGTGTGTTCCTGTCCAAAAATAGCCCTGCTTGTAAGCAAAAATTCTACTTCGTGAGTTACTGGCATTAAAGTTGTGAGTGAGCAATTTGACTACTGAAAAAATCTGTTTGCTCTGGAGCCATCCTTCCTGAGCTAAGACAAAAATGTGTGAGCTGGAGGCTAAAAAACTGTGAGCTACCTCACACTAACTCAGCCTAGAGAGAACACTGGTGCTGAGTAAATGAAGGGGGGGGAAGGACAAGCCCCTCAAAACCAAAGGATATTTTGCTTGCATACTTGGAGAGCAAGCCTAAGCAGGTCTGCTTAGTCCAATTTATCCAGTGAGGCTTACTCCAAAGAAAGTATTCTTAGGACTGTAGTCTTAGAAGCTCAAACCATGACTTGGGTTCTAAACTATGGATTGTGCAATTCACAGTTTGATGTGATCTCTGAACTGAGTCAATATTTTTTAATTGTATCTACCTGTATCTGGAGGACCACTAAATCAGCATCAAGGGCTCTTTTCATCGGCAGTGTTTTCAAGAGTAACTCAATCTGCCTTTTCTTCTCAGTCCGTTTCAGTCTTAGAAAGCGGATCTTTTCATCCATCACATTAATCTCAATGTCGCCATCTCGACTCATCATCTCCTGAATATTTATTTTCTCATAGAAAATGCATACTTCTTCCTCACGTTCAATGAGCAAAACTCCACTGCAAAGAAAGCCAAAGAAAAGACTTTAACAGGTATGTTGCAAAGGTCAAATCATTTTAAACTGCCTCATTCAAGTAGCTCATGTTATGCCAGTTATTTCCTCTGCCTATTGCCACTGGAAGAAGAGTACATTTGATGGACTCGACTTCCTAATTAGAAGAGGTCTCCTTTTTTAAATGATGTTAAGGCAGGAACGGGGGGGGGGGGGGAAAAAGATCTGGGAGACAGTTGGGCAGGGCCGCTGCATCCATAGAGGCGGGGTTAGGCAGCCGCCTAGGGTGCCATGTGAAGAGGGGTGCCCCGCCAGCCTGCCACCCCGCCCCTCCCTCGCCAAAAGCCGTGCTCTGAGTCCGATTGCAATCGGCAATCCGAGCACGTGCACAGGCCCGTTGTTGCCCGCCAGCCCTTCGCAGCACTCCAGCCTGCCCCATTAGGTGGAGCACCAGGGGAGGGCAGCTTAGAGAAACTTCCGGCGGTGTCCCTTCAGCCGCCCTCGGGGGGGGGGAGCGAGGCGGGAAGGCCCACCTGAGGGGGAAGTGTTGTGTAGTGGGTTAGCCGCATGGAAAAATTGCTAAGGCACGCATGATACACTGCACACTTTACTAGTACACAACACGCACTCCACCAACGGCAGACTGGCCGCTTATATACAGTCTGGGGAACCTCCCATTGGCCCATTCAAACCTCCCGCCAATGTCCCATTGGTTCCCCTAGTGGCAGGGTGCAGGAGCCTGGTCCCCATTGTTCTCCGGACTCAAGCTCCGCTGTACTGCGGGCGCCCAGTGGCAGTCCGCGGACACAACAGGAAGTTTGCCCTCCCAGGAGCAGGAGTGTGGAGAGGAAAGCCGCCACTGTCTTGGCTGTGCCCCACTCGGTCAGCTGTGGACAGGAGCCCGCCCTTCCGGCCGCCTGAGAGGGCCAGTGTACATGAGTCCTGAGGCCCATGGCCCAGCCTGGCTCTGGCGTGTCTGTGAGACAAGGGGGGTGCATACTGGCCCCAGCGGTTTGGCCTGGTCGTGGCAGGGAGGAGGAGGAGGAGGACAGAACCACCGCAGCCGGCAGGTGAGGGGAAGCCCTTTCTGACACCCCCTCCCCCCTTCGCTGTGTAGTGCGTTTTTATTTATTCCTCAACTGCCGCAGGAGAGACAAAGCTTCGACGGGTCACCCTGTTCGAGATCAGGGAGCGCACAGTGTGGCATGCCACCCAGCACTCGCCTTGCCCATTGCTCGACGCTGCGGCTTCCACACGGGCAATGCCGGGACTCTCCATTTGTTTTAACCGCGGCGAGCGATCACGCGTCTCTCTCCCTTACTCCCGAGTTCCTGCCTTGCTGACTCCCTGCCAGCCCCGCCCCTCTTGGCTCCACCCTCCGGCAGCGCTGGTGGCAGCGCCTGCAGCTGCCAGCCTCTTCCTGCCCAGCTCAGGGGACTCAGCCGCCCGGTTCTCCTAGGAGAAATCACCAGGCCTCCAAACCAACCGGAGTGGAGAGGGGCAGTGTCGGATCAGCAAGAAGAAGAGACTCCTGCTGGCTGCGGTGGTGAGAGCAGCGCACCAGGCTGGATGATCCTGGGGGGCGTCTTTCTACTCCTATGGCTGGAATTTCCTGCCAGGATTTGCTTGGCTCCTTTGCTGTCCTTTCCGATCCGGGCGGGTCTCTCTTGATGTAATGAATGCAGCTTCAGCTCGGGACAGTGCGCCAGAGCAGAAGGGGGTGGGAAGACTCCGGTAGATCCCAGGAGGTCTTGCCTCAAACCCCACCCCCTTTAGAGAAATCTGTGATCTCTCACTCCTCACTTTCCCAGCCAAGAATAGTCCCTAGAACCGAGACCTTGATTCATAGCCTTCCCCTACATATGCACATGCAAGATGAGATCTATTCTCAGACTCCAGCTTGTGGAACATAACAAAGCAAAAGACCTCCCCCCTTCCAAATGCTCAATCTGGAGCAAGACCTGAATCATTTAAATCTGCACATTCTGGCTGAGGGTGGTGGGGATTTATGCTACATATGAACACACACAGAGCTGCCTTGTACTGAATCAGACCCCTGGCAAAGGTTTAGTATTGTCTACTCAAGCTGGCAGCAGCTCTCAAGGGTCTCAGGCAGGCAGAGGTCTTTCACACCACCTACTGCTAGATCCAGTAACTGGAGATGCCGGGACCGAACCTGGGACCTCCTGCATGCTAAGCAGATGCTCTACCACTGAGCCAGAATGCAGCTAATCTCCTGCATGGGAATTTCTCACGACCTGATCCCTTTCAGGCTTGGACTAATGCCTGGTTGTCGGTGTCAAGAGTATGCATTCCTCTTATGATTATTATGAATGGGGGAAAGTTTGAGGGCAGATACCTGTATTTGAAGAAGTATGCTTGCACACGAAAGCTTATAAAATGCCTCTTGTTAAAATAGTCTTCTGTATTTCAACAACCTGTGTGTTTGTGCATGCATGAGCAGATAATCTGTGTTCATGGTGCATTTGCCCCTGGATCCCTGTCACTGAGGGCTGCACCGCCTAATGTCTCTAATTGTGGTCTGCTTTTTTTTTTGCTATTGGTGTAAATGACAACTATTCATTTTTAGAACAAAGCTGCAGTCCAGTGGCACCTTTAAGACCAACAGAGTTTAATTCTGAGTGTAAGCTTTTGTGTGCATGCATGACCAACTGAGCTACTTACCTGAATCTATATTCATTTTTATATGAGAGAAGTTAAAAAAATGTGCTTGGGGAGATCATTGGGATGGAGTCTCTCTCAGCCTTTCCCCTGGTGACTGTATGTACTGGAGTAGGCCCTACTTTATCACACTGGAGTGTGGTGGAATGTTACAGCTATTTATCTTTCTGCAGCACTTTTTGACTGTGCATGGCGTTTAATGAAGTAGCATAAATAAAAAGGCTGGCTTGTGCCTTGAGGAGTTTACTGTCCAGACTGGGAGCAGAGGGGTGTGTATGTGCAGTGTGTGAGTGAGAGAGGGAATGGGAGAGGCCAGGATAACAAGGAATAAGGGCAAGTAATATGTAGTGCTTCTTGCCTGTATGGACCATGATGACATAGTGGGATATGTCTGCTATGGAGCTAGTGGGGTGTGAGATTCTGATGTGCCTGAAATTGAATTTATTTATTTATTTATTTTGCATATTTATACCCTGCCCTCCCCCGTGGGCTCAGGGCGGCTTACAGAGGCAAGGCGACCTTGCCATGATAAAACATAATATACATAATAATTTAAAAACATACAGTACATCTTAAAAATCCTAATTTAAACAAAGTGCTCATTGTCTTCAATGTCCAAAGATGACGGAACGTATGCCCGAAGTTCCTGGTAGACGGTTCATGTTCAGATGTTTTCTCAGGGCCTCATCCAACCCACAGCGGTGGTGATATAGTGGGGGTGGTGGCTCCTACTCAAAAGCCTGGCGGAAGAGCTCCGTCTTGCAGGCCCTGCGGAATTGCATAAGATCCCGCAGGGCCTGGATCTCCCCCAGGAGCTTGTTCCACCAGGTAGGAGCCGCCACCGAAAAAGCCCTGGCCCTAGTAGCGGCCAGTTTGGTATCCCTGGGGCCCGGGATAGCTAGCAAATTTTGGGTCCCTGACCATAGAGCTCTTGGGGGAACATACAGGGAAAGGCGGTCCCTCAGGTAAGTTGGACCCCGGCCATGTAGGGCTTTATAGGTGAGAACCAGCACTTTGAAGCGAATCCGGTACGCTATTGGCAAGCAGTGTAGCGCTTTCAGCACAGGCTGAATGTGGTCCCTTCTAGAGAGACCCATTAGCAGCCTGGCCGCAGCATTCTGCACCAATTGCAGCTTCCGGATTTGCGACAAAGGCAGCCCCATGTAGAGAGCGTTGCAGTAGTCTAACCTCGAGGTGACCGTCGCATGGATCACTGTGGCCAGGTCATCGCGGTCAAGGTAGGGGACCAACTGCCGAGCCCGCCGCAGATGGAAAAAGACGAACTTGACAGTGGCTGCCACCTGGGCCTCCATCGTTAATGCAGAGTCCAGGAGCACCTCCAAACTCCGAACCCCAGACGCTGGCACCAAAGGTACACCATCGAAGGTCGGGAGAGGGAGCCCCAACCCCGCCCTGGCCCGACTCAGACCCAGGACCTCCGTCTTCGCCGGGTTTAGTTTCAATCGGCTCAGCCGGAGCCAACCAGCCACAGCTTCAAGTGCCCAGTGAAGATCGTCGGGACTCGAGTCCGACCGGCCACCCAACATCAGATAGAGCTGGGTGTCATCCGCATACTGATGACACCCAAGCCCATAACTCCGGGCAATCTGGGCAAGGGGGCGCATATATATGTTAAATAGCATTGGAGACAACACTGCTCCCTGTAGTACCCCACACTCAAGGGGATACCTATGGGAGCGTTGGTCCCCGAGAACCACCCTTTGTCCCCGACCTTGCAGGAAAGAGGCAAACCATTGAAGGGCAAGCCCCTGGATCCCCACGTCGGTGAGGCAGTGGGTCAGCAACTGCTGGTCGACCATGTCGAATGCAGCCGACAGGTCTAACAACACCAGCGCCACCACACCACCTCGATCCAGATGCCTCCGGAGATTGTCAGTCAGGGCGACCAAAGCCGTCTCGGTCCCATGACCCGGGCGGAAACCGGACTGGAAGGGATCTAAGACTGAAGCATCCTCCAGAAAGCCCTGTAACTGTAACGCCACCGCCCTCTCTATAAGTTTGCCCAAATAGGGCAAATTGGACACCAGCCGATAGTTAGCCAATTCGGCCAGGTCCAGAGATGGGTTTTTTTGAAACGTTAAAGAGACTTAAATTTCAACATCACAATTAACAGGATTTTTCAAAATGCTTTGTGATTTGTGTTTTTCTGTTTGAGAGAGAAAATCAGAGATTGTATTACTTGTTCTCACAATTAAAAGAAGAAATTAGCAATTTCATATTTTGTGTTTTTCATTCTTCCTAAAATGCATTTATGTTTGAAAATTGGTGGACACGGGGGGGGGGGGCAGAAGATAGCCTTCTAGTGTGCAAAAAAACCCTGGCACCGGCCCTGCTTTTATTCTGTTTGCACAATCAGGCTGACTCAAACAATAGTCACTTAAAGGAAGTAGTAATTTGTTTAATCTATGTTACTATTATGACTACAATTTAAAGCCACAATTGAAGAACAAAACCTGTACTTGCAAAAGGTTCAGCATTTGGCTTTAAAATTACTTAGAACCATGGCCCCAAACTAATATGGGTTACATTATCCTAAGAATACACCATACATGTGAAATAATTATTCTAAGCTATGTTAGTAAGAAAGGTAAAGATGATATTCAGTTTTTAAAAAATATCTGGCTTGGCCTGGCTATTACAACCTCAGTTACAACCATGAGCAACATATTTTTATAAAACATTACTAAAATTTGTCACTGCACACAGGGTACAACAGAACTTGGCTCCCTTGTGGTTTTGGCGTATCCATCTGGGGAGATAAAGCTTGGCTTGGAAACTGTGCTTTCAGACTCAGGGGCTATTGTTGCCGATTTTCTTTGATCAGCTACAAAATGGAGGAGAGGGTTAGTTTATAAAAGGGAAGAGCTGAATGAGCTAACCCAAAGGGAGGTCTCAAGAATTGGGAGAGGGTGATAAAAAGAAGTTAAAATTGTATTTTACAAGGTCATACACCACTTTGAGGGCTTTACAGTCAAAAAGTGAGATCAAAATCGTCTTGCGACCCCGGGCCTTAAAGAGGCCAGGCTTGCTGCCACAAGGGCCAGGTCCTTTTCGGTGGCGGCTCCTATCTGGTGGAATGAGCTCCCGGAGGAGATCAGGGCCCTGCGGGACCTGTTACAGTTCCGCAGGGCCTGTAAGACGGAGCTCTTCCACCAGGCTTTCAAATAGGAGCCGCCGCCGCTACCACTACCACCAACAGGGGCCTGTATAGCAGCACCGCCAGATGAGGCTGAGTGGCCAATGAACATCGGGGGGGCACAGTAGCCTCCCTCTGGATTTAAGGGCATGTGCAATAGGGAGAGAGGGTGTCAGTCACGCGGGATCCTTGGGCGCAGCCCATTGTACCTAATTGTTTTAATTTGTTTTACTGTGTTTTTATCGCACTGAGTGCCATACTGTTGTAAGCCGTCCCTGAGCCCGCATGCGGGGAGGGCGGGGTATAAAAATAAATAAATAAATAAGTAAGTAAATAAAATGTAATAAATAAAGGAAGACCACTCTAAGAAGGCAAACTATATGGAGCAGAGAACAGCAATAAAAAGAAATGATTTGCTGGCAAGTGGTGGTTGCCATTCACAGGGCACGTTGCAGGACCACCTTAAGTATTTTGCTAATAACCCAGGTGCTCTACCTTTCATTTCGGCGCTGCACGGCCCGTTCATATTTCTTCCACAGCTGCACCATTTCATCCTCCACACGGGTGAGCGTGTTGGTCAGCCTTTCGACATCCATCAGCTGCTGCTCTCGCTTTTCCTTCATCTCTTGCAACGTTGCAAAAATCTTGCAGACGTCACTCTGGATGCTGTCCTTGATGGCAATATTGTTTGTGTGCTTCAGCTGGTATTTGTGCAGTTTTCTAAATAAAATGAAAAAACTCTTCGGATTGAAGTTACATTTCTAGGAGTTTTCAATTGGGGATAAGGTATATGTTGACTCTTCCTGCTGCACTTTCCCCCCAATCTGAAATGTCTCCAAGGAGCTAAAATATTGCCCTACTGGGGACAACAGTGGCTTAATCTGAAAGCTAAACTCTTGCTCAAGGCAAGGACAGCCCCCCCCCCCAGTCAGTTTTAGGGAAAAGGGTAGGAGATCCCTACAAGGAATTTTCAGCATCACACCTGGTTTGGCTTAAAGAAGCAGATGTGCAAGCAGCAGTTTCCATGAAGCAAGGTCAGGTAAGATACTCAATCTGGATGGCGATGCACATACAAATGATTAATTGTAGCTTTAGCTTACTCTTTCTCCAAGAAATTGCAGGTAGCAACATTGCACCCTCTAAGAGACAAAGGACTAAATCAAAATTGCCTGGTGAGCTTTACAGCTGCGTGCAATTTGAACCTGGGTTTATGTAGTCTAAACCCAGCTCTCTAACCCCAACATCACACTGAAGACACATGGGAGTATGTATCTCATTTAAAGCAATATTGTGCAGCTAGGCCATTTCCTAAGTCGTAAGTATGTTTTGATGCTTATCCAATTGAACAATTGATTCATTATCAAGCTAGCACATAACACGTGCATATAAACCTGTTTTGAACTGGATCAGAGAGAAAGGGAATTTATTTAAAGTGCAATAAAGTAACAAAAATCTAAAGAATGGAACTGTAATACCTGCAGCAAAATCAGGGGGAAAAAATACTTGAGTCATGAACCCAACGTGGAAAATTATTTTTCAGAAGACTTATTTACTTAGATCCTCACCTCTCTTTAATTATAGCATTGTTCCTTAAGATTTCTCTCTCATTGTCTAACATTTTGAGCCGCTCTTTCATTTCAGCAGTTTTTTGGTGGGCAGTGTGCACAAGGTTAACCAGTTTGTTTCTCTCATGACGTACAATATCATACATTTTGGCAAATTCTTTCATTCTGTAATGTTACAGGAAAAGAAAGACATCAGTCATTTTAATGTGTCAGCAGGTGAGAGCTACAGAAGAAACCACTGCATCAAAAGAATTGTCAACATTGCCCTGACCTGGGTAGCCCAGGCAAGCCTGATCTTGTCAGATCTTGGAAGCTAAGCAGGGCTGACCCTGGCAAGCATTTGGGTGGGAGGCTTCCAGAGAATACCAGGGCTGGGAGTCCAGAGGCAGGCTATCAAGCCTCTTCTCTGAACATTCTCCATGCCCCTGTAGGAGTTGCCAGAGGTTGCCATGACTTCCAGGCACGGGCACACACACACATGCAAAAAAACAAAAAAAAAAGGTCAACATTTTCTTACTGTCTTTGGATTTCTTTCTTCTTCTTCTTATGTTCCCTTATTTCAAAGTCTTTTGTTTTTATTTCTGTAATAATGTTATTCAGTCGAAGCTGCAATAGAAACAGCAGTGGCTATTATTTTGAGAACTGTAAAGGCTTCCTAAGAAATTGGAAGACAATTGGATAAACATGCCAGGTTGTCTTTTTTTTGACAGAGCCACAACTAGGATAACAATCAAAGAAATCATGTCTGGTTTTTGAAGCATCAGCGCAATACAAACAAAGAGGTAATAAAACTGTTGTCTGAAAATGCAGGAAATGTGCACACTGTGGTACAAGTGCAACATGTATACAAGTGGTCAGTTCGCATTGTCGATTTGACAGTCCAGTCCCTTGTTCCTGGCAGGCAGCTAGTTTCAGTCTTTTTGTTCTCACTTCAAAATAGGTGATGGATGATTTCCATAAAGAGACAACCAACCATATTGTTCAGCCACCTCAAGGCCCATTTCTTTACCTGGGAACCATTTTGTCAGATGCTAAAAGGGCTACTTTAACACGATAATTTTACTGTGGCAGTGCTTTCAAGCTGCCAGCACTTTTTTTTAGCATCCACACAACATCCTCTAATCATCCACTTTTCAGATTTCCCCCCTGCTTTGCTCCTGTCTTTCTCATGCCTACTCTACTATGATAAGAACACAGTTCAAGTGTAGTTCCATGCTATCTGTATGAGAAGGTGTGCATTTTTAAATGTCCCAGTCACATGGACATAACAGCCATTTTCCCTGCCACACCAACACAGCTTTTTGAAATCTTTACAGATCACTATCTATATACTTATTGCCGCAGATCTGGGGTGCGTAGGGGGCAAATAGATCTTTCAGCACACTTGGGGCATTCCCCAGGTGGGCAGAAAAACCTAAAATGTTAAAAAATATATACTGGGGATACTTAAATGCCCCCCCAAGTAAAACTGCTTGCTTTGCACATGCACAGAAGATGGACTTACAAGAGGCGTGGGAAAAGCTGCTGGAGCTGTGAGGGAAGTTGCCATGGCAATAACCGTCCTGCTGCTGCTAGGACTGCAGCAGGAAGAACCATCCATGCTGCCCGGGAAAGACACTGGAGAGCTGCCACACCAATAACCATGCGCCCCACCACCAGACCTGTCCCAGCCATTGCCAGGACTGCTGGCAACAAAGAGTAGGCCTTCAGCCACCAGGTTTGGGCACTCCCGGGGAGGGAAGGCAGTGGGGCAGCTAAGGGAGCCAAAGGGGCAGTGGTACCCCTCTGGGAGCTATCCTGCCCTCTGCTGCTGCTGCCCAAGCTGGCCCTGCCACCCGTCAGCTGAAGCCCAAGGAGGCGAAGCCTGCATCGCCCCCCCCCCCAGAAACAGAAAGAAGTGCGGTTCTCTAAGAAGGGAGAGAGAAACAGAGAAAGAATAGGGGATTGTCTGTTGGGGGGAGGAGAAGGAAAAAGAACAGGAGATTGTCTGAGGGTTGTCTGAGGGAGGGGGAGAGAAAGAGGAAGAGGGGGAGATTGGAGACTAGAGAAATATTGGAGAGAAAGAGAGGAGCAGACTGAAACGGGGTGGGGGAAACAGGACAGTGTCTGAGAAGGGCAGGGGTAAAAGGGGGTGATACATACAAGGGGTGAGAGGAGAAAGGGGGTAAGAAAGGATTGCTAGAGAAGGGGGTAGGGAGAAAAGCTGACATAGAAGGGGTGAGAGGAGAAGGGGAGGTGAGGGAAGACTGGTAGATAAGGGGTGCATGCAAAAAGACAGAGAAGGGAACTTTAATAACCAAGGTGGGAGAGGGAAACAAAGGTGGGGGGATGCCCCCTCCTCACAAGTTCCTTGCAGGGACTGCTGGCAATGAAGACTATGGTAAGGCCACAACACATTATGCAACATTTTGTTGCAGGTCCCCTCTTGTAATAATCTATTTCTATAATCTTCTAGTTACTCTGAATTCCTAGCTTTCATTTTGTTTAAAAAATATGTCTCTATCCTTTTTCATTGCAGATGCATAAGGGGAAAGGGGCAGGAAGTTTTGTCCAGATTGCCTAGAAAGGAATGGGATGCTGCAAGACAGCTGAAGAGAGGAAGGAATTCACTGCTCAGTCAAACATGTGGATGCTCCAATGCCACTGCAAATGCCTCTGCATTCACAGTGTGATGAAGCAATACGGAGAATCACTGCTGTGTGGATGCACCCAATGCCATATAGCTTATGCTGGACAAAAGTTCATATCCCAATGTCAAGGACAATGAAGAGGCCTTGTATTGTACTATTTGAACTCTGTATTTTTATGGATGGAGACTGAAACAAAAAAAAAAGCATTTTATTTGCACGTTAACATTTCGTGAGCATTAACAGTCGTTTCTGCTCTTTTCCTTCCAAAACAAATGCTTACTAGGATCCATAATACAAAGGAGTTAATATTTGATCTCCTAGAACTCTTGGCAGTCATAGGGTTTATCCCGGAGTTGATACTCATTGAAACTAGGTGGAAACAAGCACCAAAAGACAAAGTCACTTACCCATCTTCACACTGCAGTCCCAATTCTTGAGATTTCCCCATGGGATGTGGGTGCAGGAGAGGAAGAAGAACAATCAGTATAGACTTGCCAGTGGTTTGGATGTGAAACTAGGTTTCAGGCATTTGTCCAATGATAAAAATATACAGGCCATAAACTACAGTTTAGGACAGAAGTCTGCAGACACCTGGCAAGTCCAGGTAAGTACTGATGTTTAACATTTGATTTCTTTTAGATTCTTACCTGGGCTTTTAAAAAATCCTTTGATTTTTGTTCCCTCTCATCAGCTTTGAGCTGAGTCATTCGTATCAAGTTGTTTACTTCCTCTCTGTAATGTTCCTGAGCTTTAAAAAGTTGGTCTTCCTCAGCAATGCACTGCTCCAGCATCCGTCCCTCAACATCAGTGGATGTTTTCTAAATTGAAACCACCAGAGACCACTGTAATATTGCCTTTTTCTCTTTTGCATAGCAAAGTCTATGTTGACAGAATGCAGCACAAGTATATAGTCCCTTGTCTTTTCTTAATCCTTCCGCCTCAGTAAGGTTGTCATTCTAAAATGGAATCCTGATAATATTACTAACGTGTACTCAGTGCCCAAAAAGTACTAAATGCCCTACAGAACACAGACATTATTTCTGCTTTAAAAGATTCTACTCTAATCTGAAACTCTCCCTCCAGGAAGACTCCTCTGTCCCCTTCTGTTGCCATCTCTGCCACCAGCAGGTGAAGACCTTTTTTTGTTCCGTTTGGCATTCTCACAGTGACTCCCTCCTTCTGGACCAATATTTTTAATTGTTGCTTTTATTTTTATTTTTTGGTATGTGAATATTAGCTCTGATTTTATTTCTTTTAATAATGTTGGTTTTAATGATTTTCAAGATGTAATTTTATTATGCATGTTTTTAATATGTTAGCTGCCTTGGTGGCATCTCCCCTATATTCCCTAAGGTTCAATGGAGAACAGGAAGAATCAAAGCTGTCCTTTGCTTTCTTTAGCTTGCTACAATAAATGGCCATACCAGTGTGTGATGACCTCCCCATACTCCTTTGCAGCAGTTCATTATGGTAATATCATTTCCTTCCTATTGGAGCAGTCAGGATTCATGCTGCCTCTGGTAACTGTCCTTCACTGGTGTTGGTGGAAAATGCTGTCAAACTGCAGCCGAGTTACGATGACCCCATAGGGTTTTCAAGGCAAGAGATGCACACAGGTCGTTTGCTATTGCCTGCCTATGTGTAGCAACCCTGGATGTCCTTGGCAGGCTCCCATTCAAAGTACTAACCAGGGCTAATCCTGCTTCAGGGGACTAATCAAGTTATACTAACCCTTATTTATTAGATTTATGTGCTGCCGGTCTTTCAACATGGAACTTAGTCCAGGATCCACAGTATAGCCCTGTGCTGTTGTTGTTTTTAAGTTGCACAGAAAACTGTGATACTTGTGGTTATTTCTAGACCTGGTTGCTATGAAGTGACTTGAGTGGACATGTTTGTTCTACCGGCAATATGGGTGAAAAGAATATTGTTTTCCAGAATGGAAAAACACCCAAATGTGAATAGATGATAACTTGTGAATAAAGTACATGCTGAAAGCTCACTGCAAAATGTTTCCTGAGTGAAGAAGGCAAAAGAAAACAAACAGCATTCTATATGTATTTAAATAACAATGAAAATCAGAAACAGCTATCAAGTCGCCACGTACATTTGTGACTGGTAAGTGCAAAGATGTTAACTTGCTATTTAAGATGCTTTGGAACAAAACTTTTCACACTTGCATAAAGCTGAGAAAACCACAAAAGCTGAAGATCTACACCCAATCCTATTTGGTTTGGATTAAGACAGGCCCATAGCCACGCTGACAGGGCCTTGGGGCGATGCCCCCTCCTGAATGTGCCATGCCCCTACCTCCCAGTCCCCCTCCCTGCCCACTCCCCCGGTCCCCCCTCCCCCAGGAGGTGGAGGGAGCCTGGAGTGACCGGCAACAATAGTGCTTGCCAGCAGCATATCACAGCCAACCTGCGTGCCTCATGGTTGGCTGAGAGGGGGAGGGAGCCTGGGGCACATGACACCAGCAGTGAGCTCCTCCCCCACCACCCTCGCAGCTTCAAGTGACCTGGAGTGGTTGGGCTAAAGGAGGCTGCAGCAGCCTGTGCTAGGGTGACCACGCGAACAGATCGGACAGTGCAAGGTCACAGAATCGACCCCTCTCAAGAGCCCGGAACTAAATGTGAGAGGAGGGGAACTGCCTTCCCAAGTGCCCAATCCTGAGATGGGGGTGTGGAGCTGTGGGAATGATTTGATGGAGGGAGGGAGAGAAGGAAGTCAGGCAGATTGGATGCAGAGGCAGCACACTATCCTATCCCAAGCTGATCTGCAGGCCAATTTCACATGCAGTCCTCTTTGTGGTACTTGACTTGTCGGTGCAACCCGGCAGCCTGTGCACTGTCTGCCAAGCATCCCTAAACTGGCCTTCCCATGTCAGTCGAGCAGACACCCTGGTGGGTCCCCAGTCAATCAAAGCTGACTCGGCGTCCCAGAGGGTAACCCCCCCGCCCCCCCCACTTGTCTACATCACTTCTGGGTTATGTAGGCACATCAGAAGTTACGTAGTCATGTCAGGGCACGTGCCCCCACACCGAAAATTTTCTGGCTACAGGGCTGGATCAAGGTCATATGGGGAGCCCAGGTGGAATATTTGTCTGGGGACCCTGTGGTAGCTCTCAGCAGTCCTGGCTTCCTGGGGCTAGCAGGTATTCTTAGTGTTTCATTCCCAAATTTGGGTTGATAGCCACACCCTTTAAGGACTTGGTTCGGAAACGAATGGCCCAGGAACTACAGTGGGATTCAAAGGAGATTGAGGCTTTTGAAACAGTGCAGATGGCACAGAGAAAGAGACCAGTCTTACAGATGCTTGACCCCGGCCACCTGTGCATTCTGCAGACAGCGGCCTTGGGCACCAGCACTGGGGCCGTGTTGTCTCAAGGGGAGAGGGAGAAGGAGCACCTTGTCCTATACCTGAGCAGAAAGCTATCAGAACGCAAAAAGAGATATGCTGTCATTGAAAGGCGCTGACTGTGAAATGGGCTGTTGAGACACTGAAACGTTATTTGTGTGTGTGTGTGGGGGGGTACAGTTTACCCTGGTGACAGATCATGCCCTTTGGTATGGTTGCAGTGGATGAGAGATACTAATCTGTGGCTGACACAGTGGAACTTGGTGCTGCAGCCCTACTCTTTCAAGGTGCAGGATCAGGCTGGTGCTGGTCATACCAACACAGATTCTTTTCTCCCAGCAGGTAGAGGAGGAATGTGTGATTGCAGAGGAGCTTGTGAGCCTCCTGAAAGGGGGAGTTGTGACAGCTGGGCAGGCTCCAGCCCCTGTGGAGTGTGGCTGGTGATATGTCAGGCTTGCCCAGAGGGATAAACCAGGCCAAACACGTCAGTGTCAGGGGTCGCTGGAGATCACTGGACTTAATCTGGCCCGATATGCATATTGTGGGACAAAGGTGGATCACAGTGTTGGCATTGCTGGCTGAAGAAGGGGTGCTTCTTGGGCTTGGACTGTTAGGCCAGGACTTAAAAGCCATGATTAGGCATGCCTGAGGGTGGCCGATAGTCTAGATACCTTGTAACAGGACACAGGTGAATGTGACCACACAGAGAGGCCACTAATAAAGATCTGTTGGAAGTCTCAGTCTAGCTGTAAGTCTGTGGGGGCAACAGAAGGACAACCTTGACCCAGCTTGCTGTGACCTCCACTATTGCAGCCAATGAAGGAATTACCCACCCTGTCTGACAGGCACTAATAGGTCAGCCTGGGCTGGATTAAAAAAAAAAAAATCCATTCATGGATATCTACAGGGATATCTAGTGAGGAAGTCCAAATACATGTGCTAGATTCAAGAACAAAAACTAGTTGGGAAAACATGGCATATAAATAAGGTAATTATTCACCTCCTGAACAAGATTCCTCTTAACTATTTCAACTTCTCTTTGGAGTTCCCTTCGCCTTTCTAATAGCGTCCCATCATCTTTAGGTAGAGCATCAATCTGTAAAAGGGAAACAAGACACCTTTAATTTATGCCAAAGAAGACAATCATGCTATTTAATGTAGCCAATTCATGTGTCTTTAAATTTTCATTTAAAATGTGAAAATTTAGGAATCCAAGTGCACATGTCAAGTTTTTAAAGTTATTCTTCTGAACCTGTAAAAGGGATAATCCCGAGAAATAACCAGTGTAAATATTACTCCACCCCTCCTTTTTTTGGTATTACACTTGCAACTTCAAATCCTATACTGTGCAGTATCCCTGTTGATTTCCAAGACCCAAGAATAGCCTGATCCATAATAGCACAGTGCCAATGTATCCTGGCCCATACTGGAGTTATGCTGGTATTGCAGGCAAACCCAGTCATGTAGGCACTGTGAACTCTGTGATGGCTGAAACCTTTTCGACATGGGTTGTAGGGATCCTGCCCATGTCATACATACACCCCCCCCCCCACTGTACTAGCGTTTGATGTCTACCAATCTTCCAAGAAGGACAGGCTGGCCAGCTTTGTTCTACCTTCCCTAATTTGGCTCTCCTAACAACCATCTAAAATAGTTTAGGCTTAATGACTGATTGACTCAGGGTCACTCAGTGTAGATCAAGTCTGAGTGTATGTTTGAACATGGATCTCTCAAATCCTAGCACAGCAATCTAACCAGTCCACCACACTGACTTTCCAGTGTATATGTTTTGGATACTACTCTGACACTGTTGCCTAGTCTCTGGTGGATTAGACACAAAAAGGAAAAGCGTGTGCATAAGTGGAAGCAGCACAATGCACAGCGAGCAGTTTCACACTGCGTATGAACTATGGTCATGTGAAATAATTGTCCAGAGGAAGTAACTCTGTCAGTTTCCTGTTGCTCTGAAGTATTATTCATACCACACTTCCCACATGGTTTCATGCATTCTGGACAGAATGATCTTACTGACGCCAAAAGGCACAGGGTGCAGCTAGTATCAGGATGCACCCATGGCCTTCTGGGAAGCAGCAGCACATGGTTGCCACCATCCAACTGAAAACACAAAAATCAGCAGTTGACTTTTTATTTTTTATTTATTTATTAAACAAACTCTATCTAGTTTGTAGTCAGAGACCTTAAAATCATGGCCTAAAATACTCCCCACCCTCTGTTTTGCATCCAGCCTCATGGTAAGTTCTGGAGAACTCAAACACTTACACACTGTATTGTGTTGTTTTGACTGGTCTTAATAAAAGCCCACACAAAACTATTGTCTTGGGACGTTGCTGAGGATCAACACTGCTATCTAAATCTTATCTAAACAATGAGCAAGTTACTGATTGATCCCAGTCATCAGGGAGAATGGCCACCCTTTCCTTTCTTTAAATTAAATTTTCAAACAAAAACACAAAAAGGAACAATCACCACTCAAGACAAACAACCAAAAAAGAAACTTCTAAATTGCAAAGCATAGAAACCTAGAAACAATATTAGAGGGACAAACACAAAATACAAAGAGAAGACAATGTTGAATCCAATTATTGACAGCAGCTTAATGTTTAACACATTTTTCAATTTATTTTACAAGACATAGCTAAGAAAGGATGTTAATAATGGCACAGGGGATTTCTTTTTACAGATAATTCTCTGTATACATTATACTTGATTCCTTTCCCATAATTTGAGGAAGGCCACCCTTTCCAATTCTTGCCTAGGATGGATTTTAAACTTTGGTCAAATAACTAGATGAACTCCACATTTCTAAGATTGCCTGTTCTTGTCAGCAAATGTCTCTCTACCTCCTATACCAATATCTGTGGTCCAGGAGTTAGCAAATGCAGGTGGGCATTGTTTGAAGAATCTGTACTTATGGTGAAATTGCTGTTCCTATTTCTTGATATTTCAGATAATACCTGTCCAGAAATTACAGGGGCTGGATGTTACACCTTGGAAAGCAACTCCAAGCAAGTGGGCCCTGCTTCCATGAAGCAAAGAGTTTTTCAGAAATGTTTTGTTTTCTAAAGAACCAGTGGGACATAGTAGGACATTTGAGTTAACCCACCCCCCTGCCATGAAGCTCACTGGGTGACATTTGGCCAGTTATATGTTTTGGTCAAACACACAGGATTCACAGGAGGATCTGAGAAAGTGAAACTACGACTCACAAAAGCTGAAGTTGGGATAAATTTCATCTGTTTTGATGGAATTTGCTACTAGACTCCTGTTTAATTTTGCAGGGTTGATGTGAAGAAAAACCAGGGTTGGGCGAACTATATATGCCACCTAGAGCTCCTTTGAGAATGGGTGGAATAATAATAAAAATAAAAAATCTGGCCTAACTTTAAGCCACCACCTTACAAAATAAATAAATAAAATCTAGCCTCTGAACACTAACCATTCTACCATATTGGCACAACTGATGAATACTCCAGTGCTGGCTTTGAACTGTAAGGGAGCAGATGGTCAACAACATTTTTTTTAAAACGTTAACATTTTCAAATACAGTTCCTGAAATGCTGAAACAACATTGGAATGTACTGAGACAACACTGGAAACAAACTCCTTGCTGCTTTCTAACTTAAAAAAATAGTGATGGCTGAGCAATACTGGCACAATGCAGAATTAACAAAAAGAGGGGGGAAATCATAAATTAAATGGCAGAAATGTTGGGGGAGCAGTGGTGTCAGCATCTTCAGTGGCATTACAAATCTTATCTAATAGTGATAGTGTTAATAAGAACATAAGAGAAAGCCAATGCTGGAACAGGCCAATGGCCCATCTAGTCCAACATTTTGTCACACAGTGGCCAAAAATACCAGGTGTCATCAGGAGGTCCAGCAGTGGGGCCAGGACACCAGAAGCCCTCCCACTGTTGCCCCCCCAGGCACCAAGAATACAGAGCATTACTTCCCCAGACTGAGACCAATTTCCCACAAGCGCTGCTCCACATTCGCTCTTCCCTTTTGCCCCGATGGTACGTTTCAATTTCACACAAGCAGCTGCGTGGCCGCATTTTGCCCCGCAGTTTCGCGCGATTTCCCCCATGTTTACTCAATCCTCAGGATTAGATGCAGGGAAAATCGCGCAAAGCTGCGGGGCAAAATGCAGCCGTGCAGCAGCTTGTGTGAAATTGACACGTACCATCGGGGCAAAAGGGAGGAGCGAGCGCGGAGCAGCGCTTGTGGGAAAACAGCCTGAGAGGTCCTATCTATACCTTGTGGCTAATAGCCACTGATGGATCTCTGCTCCATATGCTTATCTAATTCCCTCTTGAAGTTGTCCATTTTTGTAGCCGCCGCCACCTCCTGTGGCAGTGAATTCTATGTGTTAATGTATCAGTTGGTAAAAGAAATACCTTTCCCCCCAACAATATATGAGTTCTGGAAAAGAAATGTATCTGACTGTACAAAAGCACTTTTTGTTGCTACAATTATCTGGAATATGTACAGCAAACCGTCTGCCCCCCCCCAAGTTAATTGCACATCAGACCCACTTGGTTTTCAGCTGGGCAGTTTAGGACCAAAATGGCAGCCTGAGACAGTTCCTTGCCCCAAAATAGGCATCCTAACCCAGAATTAAACTAAACTTTACAGTGCAGTCCTATGCAAAGTTATTCCAATCTAAGCCCATTGTCTAGAGTAACTCTTTATCAGACTGCAGTCAGTATCCCAGACTGCTGGCAAGAAATGAACCCCAATTAGCTGAAGCACCCAAATTCACACTCACAACAAATTGCAGATAGATTGAAGAGACTTCCTAAAATACCAAGTCTTCAATCTGGGTTGTGTGATTAGGAAAGAGGGAGTGAACGAGCACAGGAAGAAACCAGGCTTGAGTATCTCATGAACAAATTGTACTTTGTTCATTAAGCCTGTACTTTGTTCATTATGCCTTTATTGGCATAACAAGGTAGGATACAACAAAACACTTGAGCGAGATTTGAGGGGAAAATAAAAAACAGTCTACAGAAGTTCTCCAAAACAAGCGGCGTAGCAGAAACTAAGTACAATTGGATCTTAACTAAGAAGAGTAGGCATGTAATCTTCCCCTATCTAGCACTTTTACCACTTTTGGTTTCTATCTCTTTTGCTGCTAGGGCCAGGAACTCCGCCACCCGTTTGGTGACTGAGGAGTGTTTGTCGGCTAACAAAGGTTCTATCCGTTTATTTAACATAAGATTGGGGGCTGGGAGAAGTGGTTTAATCAAGCGGTATCGGTGGGGAGTGAGCAATGGGCAATCTAATAGAATATGTTGTATAGAATCAGGTTCTTTGCTGCACCTGCACAATCTCTGTTTGTAAGGGATACCCTTGTACCTGCCAGAAACCATGAATGAGGGGAATATATTTAACTTGGCCAACATAAAGGCTCGGCATTGGCAAGGATTTATTAAATTTGAAAAATACTGAAGCATACAGTTTTGGGGAAGGAGAAGGCCCAGAAATCAAGGTGAACAGGTGCCCTTTGCACCAGCAATTATTAATTGAGAATCGATATCTAATATTCTCCTTTTAATCATTTGAAATATATATGATTCGTTGGAGTTTGTCAGTGAGTCTAAGTCAATACCGAGTGACTTGATTTTACCAAGTACTAACCTAAACCATTTGGGCACGAAAGGATATGGGGGTAAGAGGGAAATCAGACTGTTGGGTGGAGAGTGAAAATAGAGATGAGGCCAGTATTTGATTCTCTAGATTCTACTGTGTGAAGGCCCAATTCAGCACACAGGATGAAATAGCACACTGAGTTGCGGATGCCTAAAATATGACGTAGAAAAGATGTTTTGATTTTTTCGACATTTTGGTTGAAGCATTGGAACCACAAAGGAATCCCATAAAGTAACTGAGGGAGAATGGTGGTATGGAAAATCTGTAAAGCAGCCTGAACAAATTGATTACCTTTTTGGTAATGAAAGCGAGTTAATGCCAACTGCTTATTCTTAGCCAAGAGAAGGGCTTGGTCACGATGCATGAACCATTTTAAGTTGTAGTGAAAAAGAATGCCCAGATACCTAAAGGATTTAACTTGGGTGATGGTTCTGCCATTGATTTTCCAAGTATGCTGCTTCCATGATTTGGAGAACAGTAAAATTTTAGACTTGTCATAATTGATGAATAGGGAATTCTGGGCACAATATGAGATAAAAGCTGATAGTGAGCGCATTAATCCCACTTTAATAAGGGATAAGACAGCGGCATCATCAGCATATAAGAAAATAGGTACTGATTTCAAGTGTAGTTTGGGGGCATGACCCTCAGTTTTAGATAAATAGGAGGGAAGGTCAGAAAGAAACAAGTTGAACAGGGTGGGGGCCAAGACGCAGCCCCATTTTTGAGTGGCAAAGTTCTATGCATGCCAAAATCAGTTGGCTGCCTGAACTGCCACTCAGAAGGTGCTGGCTGAGTTGGTTGCCTGGGTTGCGGAGTCCCATCCACAGAAGCGACGGCCAGCGTCTCCAGCTCAATGTGCTCGGAGGGACAGATGAGACTCTCTGCAGGGCTGGGGATGGCTGGGACCTCCTTCCCTATGCCTCACATGCAGTGTCGGCTGGCTTCAGAGTTGGCCACGCCCACTACAGCCAAAACCTCTGTGCTTGCGTGGCTACAGAGGGAAGGCCTGGAGAGTGACCCCCCCATGGCAACTCCGAGGCGGCCAGGTCAGGGGGGCCCCTGGTAGGATCGGGGAGGCATTTAAATGCCTCCCCATGCCTTCCCTTCCCTCCAAGGGCTGCCTTGCCTGGGCTTCCCGCAGCCACGGGGCACCCAGGCAAGCCAAGGGAATGCATGGGGATGTGGCCTGATATGCTAATAAGCTGTGTGGTCAGGGGTGTGGCCTAATATGCTAATGAGTTTCTGCTGTTGGGTGTGGTCTATTATGCCAATGAGTTCCTGCTGGGATTTTTCTTCAAAAAAAGCCCTGTATGAACTTATGTATACTATGTATGGCACATTTTATGATATAATCTTGCTTTACTGATATTTGTGGTCCCTTGTTATTGTTATTAGTTGTTCTTGTTACAATATAATTTTCCTTTGCATGACCTTTGTGCACTCCATGGTCTGCATTATTTATACAGTACTTGTTTGTTTACTGTATTTACTCAAATGCCAGACTAGTGTTTTTTTTGGGGGGTGCCATAAAAAGAGGGGGTTGTCTTAGGTTTGCATACAAGTTACAATTATGCCCAATAATAAAAAAAACTTTGCATGTATAACTTTTTTAGAGGAGACCAAAGTTTGAGTCCAGTGGCACCTTTAAGACCAATAAAATTTTATTCACGGTTTAAGCTTTTGTGTGCAAGCTTATACCTTGAATAAAATTTTGTTGGTCTTAAAGGTGCTACTGGACTCAGACTTTGTTCTGCTGCTTCAGACCAACACAGCTACCCCACCTGAATGTATTTTAGAGGGGGTTCATCTTATATTCAGGGTCATCTTCTTTTTTAAGTAAATAGAGTACTGCATGGAAATGCCAACAAACAAATCTTTAGTGTGATAAGCATAACCAGTACCATCAATGCAGTTTGTTCAGACACACCTCTAAAAGGACTCTTTCATGGTGTGATTTCACTTGTGCCAAGCTGTCAAGAGCTATTTTCAGTTGCATCTCCATCTTCTTGAAATTTCTCAAGTCTCTCTCCCTCTCGCGTTGCATGCGGCTCAAAGTATCTTGCAGTTTTTGCTTCATCATGACACAGTTGCGGAATCCAATTTCTAAAATGCCCCTGTGTAAATGGAGGGAATGGTTAAACACACACACCACACACACACAGGAAAACTGGCCAAGGGACAAGCAGAAACAAACATGATCACTTTAAAATCAGAAGCCAGGGTTGGAGACATCACAGCAAAACAATCAGAATTGGGAAGCGGCAATGAAAGATTGGTCATGATCTCCGAAGTGAGAAATTCCATTGCACCCACTATTTTTTAAATTTCTTTTAAAAAACTTCTTTATTTATGCTTTTCCATTGTAATTCATGTTAACATATCTTTGTCATTCCAGTCATCGTATAATATTTAACATTTACACGTTTACATTCTTTCCTACATTTGAGTCAAGATTACCTATCTAGTATAAATCCAGTTATATATTCTTTCCCATCTTTTAACAAATACACTTTCATCTTTCCCTTGAAGAAGTAAGGTTAGCTTATCCATTTCTGATAAGCTAATTATTATTATTAATTATTATTATTATTAATTTCTGAAGGGGAGTTGTGATACTCCATTGTGGCAAAAAGGAAAACAACAGTCCTGGTCAACCCTGAACTTCCTTGGAAGATAACTGTGGGTTTCTTGATGAGGCAACTGGGAATGCCCAAGAATCTGCCTGAAAGACACATGGCTTGCCACTATCAGTCTTCCTCTGAGCTACCGAGTGGTTCCAGAGCATTTGGTGTACTCTGGGGCACGTTCTCAACATGAGCTAAATGAGCATCCTAAAATATCTTAGCATCCTCTACAATGCAAGATTTTGTAGCAGGTGCCCTGAGGGAAAGTATTCCCTTGAAGGCAGCTGGTATGAAAATCACTGGGAAACAGCCCACTTCACCAGATGCATGGAACGTTCAAGTAAACTGATAGAAAAATACTTTTTAAAAGCTATTATGATGTCTATATAACTATTTAACACACTAGGATCCCATTCACACGGAGAAGTTGCCGCACTAAAGACACAGATGATAGGCAGATTTTCAGTGCGCAATCACACCGCAACATCTGGGAAGCATAGTACACCCGTGGCTAACCCGTGGCTTCTCGCCGAAGATGCGGAGTAAAAAACTACCACATACAATGTACTAGTTTCCGGAAAACGTGGGGCAAGGGCGGGCATCTGATCACTTTTCCACTTGAATCCTGTGGCATCCGGCGCCCGTTCATGTCCCATCGCACACTGGATGTTTGGGTTTTTTAAAGTCTCCACAGGATGTGCACAAACGATCATGTGCACGTGCAAACTTCAGTGAGAAAAAAATTCCCCTTTGCCACGGAAGCGGCGCCTAGTGATTGTCGGTGTGATCGCCCTGCGCCGCTTCTTTGCCGTGCTGCAGGATAGCCGTGTGATCGGCACCTAACGGCCTAACCACGGGACCTCAACGGGACATTTGATCGGGCTGCCGCGCGTTACTTTGCTCCAGGGCAAACAGCCACGCTTCCCCCCCACATTTTCCGGCCCATGTGACCGGGACCTAGGTCACTTAGTACATCTGACAAAGCAGGATTTAGTTTCCTGAGTCTACTAATGGAGGAAAACCAGTTTGAAAACCTCTGTGCGAAGGTAAGACCTCGAATGCTGTCTTGTTCCTAGCACCAGACAGGGAGTGTTTCTTCAGATCACATGGCCTTGGATTGCTAGCCTCACCTTTCAGCTATGGCACTTCCTTCATTCTCTTTGTTCAGTTCATGCATCTTTATACAATTGCTGAATTCTCGGTCCTTGCTTTCCAGCAATGATTTCTTGCCATCCACTTCTTTCATCACATCTTCCTTCTCTCGAAGTGTGTCCTCAATTGCAGCCTCTACTTTTTTAACGTGGTCAGTTATTTCTTCCAGCTGTTCCTGGACTGCTGCTATCTTCTTCTCTGCTTCCCTGCAGACCATGACAGATTTGAATACCTGAAAAGGGTTCTTTTCATTCATTTCCTGTGTCATTTTTTGCAATATTATTTTTAAAATCCTTAAATTAATCAACGAAACTATTCATTAAATTAATCAACTAAACTATTCCTATTTTAAAACCATGCTGTCAAGGATAAATCAAGAACACACCCACAGAAAAAACGCCTGCTCTGCCTGGCTCCACGCTGCTGCAGCATGGGAACTCTTCTGTGGGCTAATAATTCCAGGAGAAGTCTTGCAGATCTTATATCTTCCACACTGACGGTGAAAACCAGTCATATCAAGAGCACTGATGGGAACTTGCCTTCTAAACAGGACGAGTGGGCAGAAAGAACAGCTTAGGTGTCCCTTTCTCCTTCCCTTCTCAATAACTCAACTCTGGAACAACCACATTTTGACTTTACACCTATGAGTTAGAGTGATCAGAAATAAACTCTTGTGTTACTGTTCCACTGGAGAAGAACATCAGCCACAAATCTCATGTGATTTTTTGGGATCCATTATCAGATCCCCCAGTGTGTAATTTAACAGCAATAGACATCTCTCCCACCCCCCCATGTGTGTCTCCTATATGGATTCATCCCACAGAGCTCAAGAAGAGAGGCTAAGTGCTTCCTCCAGTGCAGTATTCCTAATTGAAAAATGACTCCCCCAGGCTGCCTCAATCCCCAGAGGGGGAAAAAAAAGACAGGTACCTGTATTATGCCTGTCTTCTCCCCGATTTGTGCACAAGACAGGCTGGAAGATGGAGCATTTTGATCAGGAACATGGCATTAATTTCTGAATACCATGGCCCAGTCCATATCAGAGCTCCTTGCAGCTGCTTTTGGCAGCTTAATTACGCATCAAGGGATCCAATTGTGGATCCCCCCACCATCTTGTATAGTCTGGGATTTGGTCTCCAGTTTTGAAACTTGCAAAGCCTGGCAACAAGCTTATTTCACACAACTTTGTTGTGGCTTGACAGAATGTTTTAACCCAGCCAGAGAGCGATGAGAGTCTCTAGGAGTAGACAGCAGAAACTGGGGGTGGGGGTGTGAAGGGGGTGGGCTGCTGATGTTGCTCTCCACAGATCTTCGGCTTGAAGTAGGAGTACCTGCTTCCTCTTTATGTTTGTGAATAAAACAAATTTTACAAAAACTGTTCGTTTTCTGCACTCTCCTCAAAAGGCACTGAGAATGCACAAAGTCCAGTGCTTTTTAAAGTCACATGCACCTTTTGATTTTGTGATCACTACTAAATGATGTCACTTCTGGCATGATTTTAATTGTGTTCTCTGCTAGATTATAGAATCATGGATGTATAATGTTTATCTGTCTAAATTAACTTTGGATAGCAGCTGGCAGCATATATTTAGATGACAATACTTCAGAGATGTAATGGAGCTGGCCCTGGGGAACATTTTTCCAGACATCTTAAAGCAGGAGTGTCAAACATACGGCCCAGGGGCCAGATGAGGCACCTGGGAGGGCTTCCATCAGGCCCAAACTGGAACTGGCCATCTCCTGCTTCCAGTTCTGCTGCTGTGCTGCATCATAGCTTGCTTCGCCAGACTCTCTTAATCACTTAGCCATTTCATGTTTTAACCTGGGTCCTAGACTCAGAACTCTGAGCATGAGATTTCTGTAGTGAATGTCAATAAATCAAAAGTAGGTTTGCTACAGAGCTAATGTTTTAAGCATGTTTTTATGTTAATTAAAAAACACCTTTGTGTTTGTGTCCTTTATAAAGTTTATATCTCTGCTACCTGGCATTACATTTTATGACACACGTGGCCCAGCCCAACAAGAACTCATTTATGTCAGATCCTGCCCTCATAACAAATGAGTTCGACACCCCTGTCTTAAAGGCTCTGCAGCAATACCCTGGAAAGAAAAAACAGCCCTGGAACCAGTCCAGTTGTGTGGCCCCTGTGGCACTATGAGCCAGACTTCAGGGCAACTCAGCACAGTGGTGCTAACAACAGACATTATCTCACCCATTGCTTCCTTCTGCAGATGGGCAGTAGTGAAGACAATTGGCAAGCAGACACCCATTATCATTGGCCATGAAGGTTCTGAGCCCAATGTCCCCTGAGGTGTTGGCAGAGTTGCTGGAGCTTCATTTTGCTTGGTCCTAGCCACCAGTGGCCCTCCAGGGCACTGGTCCACCAGGAAATTTCCATGTAAGTCTACCCATTGGGTTCTGATTGAAGTCATCAGAATACTTAGATGAGCTCGGGAACATAGTGACAGCAAGTACCAACAATCTGGAAAGCAGCATACAAATTTCAAGAAGTTCAAATTTATTATGATCCTGATATGCCAAATCCTTGCTATAGCACTGGAAGTATTATTTGATGTTTTCTACCAATTCATCCAACAATTCTAGGATTCACAGGACGCAGTCTTCCAGGATTCACACAGGAGGCAGCTTTGGCCAGCACCAGCATGATAGATTCAAATACTCTGCACGAATTGGATTGTGCACTAAACTGCTAGGAAACTAAGATTTTGACCAAACAGCATTAACTAACTTACTGCTTTCGACGGTTCAGTTTCTCCATTTCTTTCCCAAGCTGAATAGGAATGGCCTGGAGACGGATAAGCTCATCCTAGTGATAAAAATACAGATATTAGCCTACATGGGTCAGAGTTCTAAGAGTTCCATGAAACTCTACAGATGTCATGAGTGCTGATGAGGATGAGCTCCCGGCTTCAGCAGAACCCACACCTGGCCCCGATGATGCCTCGGAGGCCGAGAGCTTGCCGAGGCTGCCCGCATCAGCAACAGCTGATGAGGAACAATCAGCAGCAGACAGCCCCCCTGACTTGCCTCCACGGGTGGTGCGTTTGAGGAACCGGCTCCGCCAGGACTTAATGTCCAGGCGATGGGAGGCACACCTTTGGGGCAGATGCTCACTCAGCCCTGAGTTTTAGCAGATGCTGGGCTGCTCACAACAAGCGTTAATTAGCAGCAGCAGCCGAGGGGTGTTTAGCTCCCCACTCGACACTCGTTCCTTGTGGCAGCAACTAGTCGATCTGACGGTGCTTTGCAACCACCCCGCTCGTGTTTTCGGTCTCTACCCATGTCCTGAACTCTTGGCTCCTCAACCTCGGCTCTGAATGACTAAGCTCCTGATTTGTGTTTTGGACTCTTGTTATCGGCTCCTGATTCGGCTACCTCTCGGGCACTGGACTTGGCCACTCTTTCTCTCTGCCTGCATTCTTGTTATTGGCTCTGTCCTGCTCCAGGAGTCACGGCCCGTAATCGGCCGATCCCGGAATCCCCGACAACCCGAAGGGGGGCCCAACAACTCACCGTACCTGCAGGGGAGCAACACGGGGAAAGAGAGCGGCCGCCCGACCATCTGGCAGGGGGGGAGGAGACACGGCCCCATCCAAGACGCCCTGCCCCGGACGCGCCAGACGACGGGGACAGGGCTCGAGAAGCTGTCGCCAGGAGACAGAGCAGGACGGCGAGGCAAGCAGGCTGGGAGCGAGCCCTGACGGCCTGATGCAGCAGAACGGCGTCGGCGGCGCGGCACAGAGGCTGCTAAGGCCGCCGCCAGCGTGCCGGCACACACCCAGGGAACGCCCTACTGGCGTTCCTGATTATACATAGGGGCAGGGCCCAGATAGGGGGGCGGAGAGGCGGTCCAGAAAAGGGAGCAAGGGGAATAAAAGGCGGGGATTATGAGAGGGCGGAGGAGGATGACACGCTGGGACTGCTGGCAAGAGAGAGAGCGGAGTATTGAAGGAGAGAGAGAGAGAGAGAGAGAGAGAGAGAGAGGGAAAACCTTCACAGCGTGTAGGCAGAGGGACGCTAGGGGTGCTCTTAACCCCGTCCCCTGCCGGTCTGAGGACCTTCTCTTCCCCCCCTTTTTCCCGAACTCTCCTGCCTCCTGGACCACCCGTCTCTCCAGGGCTTGAAGAGTCCCGCGGCACAACGGCCACCGGGGGCGCCACTCCGAGGACAAAGGGGGAATGCGACAGACTCCTACCTCGGCTACCTCTCGGCTTTGACCTCAGACTGGACTGATATTCTCTCTCTCTGCCTTCACCCCAGCCCGTGACAACAGAACCTAACTAGGATTGCCAGTCTCCAGATGGGAGCTGGAGATCTCCTGGAATTACAGTTGATGTCTAGGCCACAGAGATCAGCTCCCCTGAAGAAAATGGCTGCTTCAGAGGGGAGACTCAATGACATCACATCTCTCTGAGTTCACTCCTCTCCCCAAACCTCACCCTCCCCAGGCTCCACTCCCTAAAGACCCAGGCATTTCCCAGCCCAGAGCTGGCAGCCTTATGCATCCCCCACCTTGCAGAATTTGTACCCCCCCACACACCCCTGTGGCTGTTTCTGGCCTTTTCTCTAAACACTTATGAAGAACGAAAGCAGCCAAACATAATACGGGCACTAGCCCTTAAGACATGTACTGATAACGATACACTTAGGCTTGGATTACTTTTATATCTTCTTGCTTCCGAAGGATTTCATCAAGTTCTTTCTGGTCTCTAGTGAGATGCTTTTGTCTTACTGTCAAATCTTCTTTCAGTGTTTTAATTTCTTGCCTTCTTTGCGAAGTTTCTTTACGGAGCTCTTCACAGCTTTCTTTCAGGCCTTTAATCAGTTTTTCAGCATCCTTAAAAACCAACAACAACAAAAACACCAAGTTCAGGTACCTCTTCTTACACTGACTGAAAAGTGGAACCCATTCACTGAGAGTATGTTACAATTAGGTCTGTTTTATAGACATGCTTATTCCTTGATGCATGATTCCATGGACCCATCCTTTATGCTTTGACTGGATACCTAATTGCCCATGATATTGGAATCTCGTGAACTGAACGTCTGATGTGTAAAAAAAACACATGGAGAAGGACTCACCTAAAATGGATCATTAGAGAAAGTAGATTCTTCACCTCCACTATTTTCCCAATTTAAAATGTCCCCTTGGATTACTTTTGACTACAATCTGGGCAAAAACCGAGAAAGTGGACAGCACGAGAATGCTGTACAGATGGTAAAAAATCATCTGCTCCACTGTGGTCGCCAGAACAGAATAAAAGCTCCATGCGGAAGTGAAAAGTACTCGGAAACGTGGAGTGATTCAGCAAAGAGTACTTTATTTAGTGAAGAACAAGACAAGAAACCCCGGCACGCAGGCCGGTATATATGCTCAGAAACCCACCACCAAAACACACCCCCTAGTGACCCTATAGGTTATTTACAGTGGCCGAGAGTCCCATTGGCTCTCGGCCGCGGACCTGGCCCTCTGGTTGGTGCGGGCTAGGATCCGCTCCGCTATTGTTCTGCAGGAGCGAAGCTCTGGGCTTGTGCTTGACCGCATGGCCCAACGGTCGCGCACGTGGTAATGGCGGATACATTACAGGAAGTGACCTGAGTCTGCATCTAGTGGATATTGCATTATCATGGAGCTCTAGCACTCATTCAAAAATAATGTTAAAAATCATTCAAAAAACCCTTCAAACGTGAACTGTCTTATCCATACAGGAAAATGCAGTTGCAAACAATTGCTGCAATGCAACAATAGCAAAATATCCAAAACAAAGTTAGAGTCCAGTGGCACCTTTAAGACCAACACATTTTGATTCTGGGTGTAAGCTTTCATGTGCATGCATAGGAAAGTTTATACCCAGAATAAAACTTTGTTGGTCTTAAAGGTGCCACTGGAATCAAACTTGGTTCTGTTGCTTGAGACCAACACAGCTACCCACCTGAAAATATCCAAACTATGTCTGGGTGCAGTCTGAGTGTCAGAGTAGTAATGGTGTAGCAGCAAGTGACAGCTGCAATAATTCTAAGCCTGGAATTTCCTTTTTACGCTGTAGGTGTGACACCTATGATGAACTAAATGCACTTCACTTGGCTGTCTGGGGGGGGGGGAAGCCCTTTCCTCATGAAGTAAGTACATGTAAATGCGAAGAAACAATGTAAGCTACCATGTGCTAGCTTCACACAATCCTCTTGCCTGCAAGAAGCTTTAATCTCCATGTCAGGAAAAGCCTTAGTTTCTTTTGCGGTGCAATGTAAGTCTGTAAATCGTGGAAACTCTTGATTAGCATTAACCATGGTAAACATGGGCACACATGTAGCACCAAACCATGGTTAAAATAAATAAAGGAAGGGATAGTGGATGGAACACCATTCCTAAGGATGGCTCCTAATTAGCAAACTACAATTAGCAGAGGTACAGTGTTACACCCGCATCCCATTCCACGTTCCCAAGAATTCTGTGTACTATAAGAGTAATGTGTTTGTATTTTAGCTGTATAATTTTCTTATTTTTTCATGCAGCCAAATGGCTCCAAATATGGCAATATGAACATCATACTTACAGTAGCTTTAGGGATTCTTTGATACTCTTTTTCTATGAGTTTCTTGTCTTCTAATAAGCTAAAGAAAAGTAGATTAATACAGAAGAAAATTCAGCTTACAGATGTCAAAGCAAGTGATTATCCATTACTTGGAAGCATTCACCTTTTAAATATTTAACTATGCACACAGAAAAACAAAGTTTATCCCTGAAATGAAATATAAGATTGTTGAATGATTTAATAACAGGGAAGTGTCATGATTCTGGATTCCCCCCCGCGTATCTATCTATCTATCTATCTATCTATCTATCTATCTATCTATCTATCTATCTATCTATCTATCTACATAGTGGTTCCCAATCTACTCTCACCCTCAAGTGTGAACAAGAACCCAGAAAGGACTTACGCAGATGAAGAGGTGGGGCTATATGAACAGAAGCATGCCGTTGAAGACAGTTTTATTTAGTTTAAGTTTAGTTTAAGTTTAGTTTAAGTTTAGTTTTTATTTAGTTTAAGTTTAGTTTAAGTTTAGTTTAAGTTTAGTTTAAGTTTAGTTTAAGTTTAGTTTAAGTTTAGTTTAAGTTTAGGTTTAGTGTGGTTTTAGTGTGGTTTTAGTGTAGTTTTAGTGTAGTTTTAGTGTAGGTTTAGTTTAGGTTTAGTTTTGGTTTAGTTTTAGTTTAGTTTTAGTTTAGTTTTAGTTTAGTTTTCGTTTAGTTTTAGTTTAGTTAAGTTTAATAGGAGTCCTGAGTTGTGATTTTTAAATTTTGGTTTTATTTTTTAATGTATTTTATGTGTTCTTCTGTATTGGAAGCTGCCTTGAGGTATGTGCGAAAGAATGGTGGTAATAGATGCTTTAAATAATAAATAAATAAATAGAATAAATAAGGATAGAGGCCACTTGTAAGCCCATTTTTTAGGTAAGTTAAATTTAGGGTAACAAAAAGTATTTATTTCCTACATGTATATTTTTCCTTTGCTCAGTTAACATGTATCTACTTGCTCAACATTTCGCCTTGTAAATTCAATAGCTGTTAGATGTTTAGAAAAAGTTTATTTTATTTTTTCAGTCTGTGGTCTTTCTGCATCCCATTCACATACCACCCCATACATATACCACCCCTAACTAGGAAATTAATTAAAGGTTAGAGAATCTCCTCCCCGATATAAGATTTCCAAGAAAGGCTTGCCTCCTCAGGATTGGATTCATATTCAAGATACATGGGTGCAGAGGGTTAGGGAAGAACCTATGCATTAATTTAGGAGAAGGGTTATATTTAAAAGTTCTTTAAAAAGGCATTTTAGCCATTAGGAGAAGCTGAAGTTATCTACTTTCTCTTATGGTGGCACAGGAAAAAGGAGCTGAATAAAGGAAGAAAGGTGGGAGTGAAACTATTCTTAGTGAGATCTGATACGTTGGGACATGGCCAGCTGGGGACAGTCGTCACCCAGGGAAGCCTATGGAGGTTGGAGATGGTTGATACAGTGAACGTTGAGTCCCTCCATTGGTGACTGTCAATATTCAGCAGAAAAAAATATAGAGTTGGATCTAGACTAAATTTTCCATTAGTGGAATGAAACTTTCCTGCCTTCCCACTCCCATACTGCACAATATTTGTAACTCATACCCCCAATAGGGGTGTGGAATTTTTTTCTCTATATTTTTCAGTTTGGGTCTATTGGACCCGAAAACATTTCGGGATTCCCCCCCCCAAAAAAAAAAAAAAAAAACAAAAAAAAAAAACGGATCCCAATACAGGTAAAGTATTCTGATTGGGATTTTTTCAGAAATCCCAATATTTTTTTTTAGTCCAATAGACCCGAACAGAAGAATAGAGAGGGAAAAAATACAGAGAGAAAAAAAGCAGCAGCAAAGCAGCAAAAAACAGCTGGAGTTCAGCTGGGGCTCTTTTGGGCAGTCCCTTTAAACGAGACTGGCCAAATGATCTCACAAAGCAGCGGATCCTGTGGGGATCCCCACAGGCTCAGCTGGGGCTCTGCTGAGCACCCTGGTTTAAACTGGACTGCCCAACAGAGCCCCCAAAGCAGCTGATCCTACAGGTTCTCCCAAAAAATCCTGGATACTTTTGGGATACCAAAATATACCAGAAACATACTGATAAGCTGTTTTTTGGGGGGGTATATTTTCAGTTTGGGTAAACCCTAATGCACATCCCTAACCCCCAACCTGTAAAACTCTTTAACTTGAGGGCACTATGTTATAGATCAGCAACTGGAGACCCCTAAGTGAAATCTGGCCTCCTAAACAGTGACATCTGATTGTTCAATTGCCAGTTCCAAAAGTATAGGTAAATATTACTTGTGGCAATAAGATTTGGCAAGAAGCTACAGGGCAGAGGGAGTTTGGGTCTTTGGTCCTTCAACCCATTCCCTTGTCAAAATGTTCCTTCGGGAAAACTAGATGCTAAGCAGGGCTTGACAGTACATGCACACTGCCTCTGTGTGTCTTCCTTCCATTGTTTCACATTAAGTCCCAGTTGTGCTATGAAGAAATGGGGACAAAATAGCTGATGATGCAGCTCTCGAGTGTGCATCCCCTCACTGCATCCCATAACCATGTCTCAAGCACAAGGTCCAGCTACAGATTCCTACCATGTTACAGGAGGCTCAAAGGCTTCTGCAGGTGGCCTTCACTTGCATAACCACAGGACTCCTCATAAGCATTCATCAGGGCTGCCAATTAATCTGGAGAAAAATGACCTATCCCTTTAATGGAGACTTAGGCTGTGGTCACATGGCAAGCTTACTGTGATTTGTTCCCGCTATAGATTTGATAGGGAATACGTGCAAAGTGGTGCACACTGGGGGCAAAAATCCTAACTATAAATACAGGTTGATGGGGTCCAAACTGGTGGAGACTGACCAAGAGGGAGATCTTGGAGTCGTAGTAGTTAACTCACTGAAAATGTCGAGGCAGTGTGCAACTGCAATTAAAAAAGCCACTGCTATGCTGGGGATTATTAGGAAGGAAATTAAAAACAAATCAGCCGGTATCATAATGCCCTTGTATAAATCGATGGTACAACCTCATTCGGAGTACTGTGTGCAATTCTGGTCACCACACCTCAGAAAGGATATTATAGCATTTGAAAAAGTGCAGAAAAGGGCAACTAGAATTATAAAAGGGTTGGAACACTTTCCCTATGAAGAAAGGTTAAAGCACATGGGGCTCTTTAGCTTGGAGAAACAACAACTGAGGGGTGACATGATCGAGGTTTACAAGATTATGCATGGGATAGAGCATGTAGAGAAAGAAGTACTTTTATCCCTTTCTCATGAAGCAAGAACTCGTGGACACGCAATAAAATTGCTGAGCAGTCGGGTTAGAACAGATAAAAGGAAGTATTTCTTCACCCAAAGAGTGATTAACACATGGAATTCACTGCCACAGGAGGTGGTGGTGGCTATAAGCATGGACGGCTTCAAGAGGGAACTGGATAAACATATGGAGCAGAAGTCCATCAGTGGCTATTAGCTACAAGGTATAGACAGGAACTCTCAGTCTGGGGCAAGTGATGTTCTGTATTCTTGGTTCTTGGAGGGGGCGCAACAGCGGGAGGGCTTCTAGTGTCCTGCCCCCAGTGGTGGACCTCCTGATGGCACCTGGTATTTTTGGCCACTGTGTGACAGAGTGTTGGACTTGATGGGCCATTCTCCTGATCCAACATTGGCTTCTCTTATATTCTTATGTAATGAAGATAGTAACACCTTAAAACAAAAGCAGAACAGAATAACCACAGTATGACGGTGCCTAGACCAGAACAAGCCAGACCCAGCTAAGTCCCTGGAGATCACAACACGGAATATTGCAGGTTGGACCCGCTGAATAAGCAAGTAGTATTTTTCAATGGAACCACAATATAATCCTAAAACAAGAGACTTGAATAGCCAACGAAACTAGAATTGATGGCTACCACTCTTATAATTCAGGGGCAATTCCGAGCATAGGACCTGGGAGGCTGAAGAGAGGCCTGTGCATCCTAGTATCCGCTTCTTTAGGAGCAAGGTGCACAACATTGCACCCTCTGAATCAACTGGCAATGGCTCTTCTTCTTCAACCGGGCCCTGTCACAGCATTAGCTGTCAACACATATCTCCCGCCTCAACAAAGAAAAATGAAGTCCTGGGCTGACTTGGAATGCTATATCGAAGATCTTTTATTAGAAAACAATGTAGATAAGGTTCTTCTAGGAGAGGACTTTAATGCAAGCATCGGTCCAGACAATCATTCTTGTAATGTCAAGTTTAAAGTGCCCACAGATGCACAAATTCACATCTATTATCCATGCTCCTCTAAAGATTGCAAAGCAAATTATGCTGGCTACTATCTTGACAGGATGGCTATAAGGTTAAAACTTTACATCTTAAATGGCTCTACACCTGGCGATTATCCAAGAGAGTTTACCTTCATGGTAGGAACAAGATGCGGTAGCACTGACTACATCTTAGTTAGCGAGACCTTAACACCCTTCGTTAGAAGCCTCCAGGCACTCTCTGACTTAGAAAGTGACCACCTCTTTTACTGTGGATAGTGCTACCTACTCGACAAACTTACCCTGAAACTCAACCTGGGCCACATATTATACCAATTGAACAAGTGTGATGCTGTACCAGGTGGACAGCCCGACTTGAACAAAGGGTGGAGACCCTAGAATGTGAGAATGCCTCAGCTTGTCAAACAGGTATTTTGGACAACACCATGGGCTGTGATCTTCTGGTCTTCTATGATTGTCTTGTTTGGAGATTGAAGCCTTTGCTTGTAGAAGACACCAGGCTACAAGCAAAAAAGCAAGAAGGATCTCCAAATGGTGGTTTGATAAGAACAGCAGAAAAGCTAAGCTGGCACTTAATTCCACCTACCTGGCTTACAAAACCACTCCTGGACCAGACAGTTTGATCCTACTCCTATGTTTGCTAGGTCTAAAGAAGTCCTACAAGAAATTAATAGCACAGAAAAGGAAAGCCGACACAATGGCAGCATGAGAGTGCTTAATACAAGCAGCCAAGGGAAAAAGATAGTATCTAGTCATACTTTTAAGCACTCTTCCCCCACAGGCTCACTCATAATAATGGACACCCAGAAAATATATTTCCGAAAGTTATACACAGATGTACCTCTGGAAGCCCCACTCCAAAAGACAGAGGATCTACCTCCATGCCCTTCTGTCTCTGTAAAGAGGTTATGTCACTTATCAATCAACTTAAGAGAGCTAAAGCTTCCGGCTAGGCTTCCCAAGTCCCCCCGGGGGGCCCCAGAGGCCCGTTCCCCAGCGCCACCGGATCGGGTGTTAAGAGATGTGCTTAAAACTGTGGAGGGTTTTTGTGTATGGGTTTTGGGAATGCTGTGTGATTTGCTGGCTTTGGTCTGCCTGCATCTGGAAGCTGCTATGCTATATGCTTGGCCTGCTCTGCTTGCATTGGTATGCTAATGGACACACACACACCTACCCATCCTGCCTTGGGAACAAGAAAGCATTCTCCATTATGCTCAGCCACAAGGACTCTTACAAACAACAAGTATTCCACCATCAAGGAGTTTCTGGATAACACGTAACCCTTTATCTGGTTTGCATCTGAAAGTGACTTCTTCCTGTTTACAGCTCTTGGACCAAGCCAGAGCATCAACACATCAAAGGTTTCCATGGCAATACAACTTTGACACCTTGACCAAATGGTTCCTATTGAAGTATAGGGTAGAATTTGAAGATTGTCCACTCCCCCTAGATAGATACGTCACATCCCAATGGCCAATAGACATAGGGAATGGGACGGACTAATGACAGGAGGTTGGCACTGATGCCAACCCCCAAACTAGGTTTTAAAAGGCGATGTACATCCTTTGTTCGTCGCTAGCCACCTTTACCCCACCTTTGTAACTAAAGTTCTGCCAGCTAGCAAGCCATCCTTCCCCCCCCCCCACCTAGGCAACTGAAGCTCTACTAAAGGTAATTCTCACATGCTTTCTTGGACTGCAGCCAAGAAGCCCACATGTGTTGGCTGGTTCCAACTGTGTGAAGTAGAATCCCTCTAGTGAGATCTTTTGTTCCCACATTCTTCATTGAAAAGATCAACCTCTCTCTGGATCAGATAAGTATCATCGTTATCCTTTTCTGTGTTGCCCTCTAATTAGTTAAAGCTTTATTATTTTCTATACTGATTGCTTTCCATTCCTATTGTATCTAAAGGAACTTGTGAGTGTGTGTGAACGAATCTGTTTTGTATGCTTGTGAATTCCAATATTACTCAGTAAAGACAACATTTATCCTTTAAACATCCAGTGGTGTTGTCTCTTCTATGGGGAACAAGGAGTGTCTATTCTGGTTTTAATCCCTGTATGCATTGGTGTCCAAGAACCCACAAGCCCCTGTCGTACATAAGGCAGATTTGGGCTAAAGGATTAATTCTCCCAAAGAGGATTTCTCCTAACACGGGCCCCAGGGGGAACTCCTCCCCGACTTGCACGTCACCTGGAAGTGACACGACCACGCCGGGCACGCTGGGGGTGTGGCCACGGCCATCCAAGGGAAAACTCTATGGTTTTCCCTTGTATGGCCGTGCCCCCGCCCCCAGCGTGCCTGGCATCATCACGTCACTTCCGGGTGATGTGCATGTGGCGTACATGCGCTTTGCGCGCGTGCGCACCAGACGCCGGCCGGAGCCCCCTGCTCCCGGCGAAGATCGACTTGGCAACCCTACTTCTGGCATCGACAATATTCCTCCTGTGCTTTCAAAGATAACATCGACTGGTGGGCCCCACTCCTGGCCTCCCTCTTCAAACATATTGACTCCTCGAGGTGCATCCCAGAGGGCTGGGGGCAGACAATAATCGTTCTTTAAGAAAGGGGTGAGGGGTGATCCAGCTAATCGCAGACCTATTAGTTTGCTTAGTATCACAAGCTAACTTTATGCTAGCCACCTCTTGGACAAAGTTAAAAACTGGGCTGAACAGGAAAATTTAATCGCCAAAGAGCAAGCTGGCTTCAGGGAGGGAAGTATCACAGTGGTGGAGGGGCGATATAGAAAGATTCCTATGCTGAAAAGGGTCTGCCTCTGTGGCATCGGAGAAGTTGAAACTTCAGAACATATTTTACTCTATCGAGAAATTTGCTTAAAGGTCATTTCCCCTCTACTCAGAAGGTATCCTGGCTGCTCTGATTTAACAGATTATTAGGACACTTTTTATATATAGATTTTTATAGAGTTAGGACACTTCTTATGGGTGTTAACCCTCAGGTCACAGCACTCAGTGCGAGAGTCTTCACAGCTGCCTGCAAAATCCGCCAGGAAACCTCACAAACTAAATAAGAATTTTAACATCTTAGAAACTCAATCTCTTTGTCCAGGTTGCATTACTAGAGAAATTTTAAATTGGTATATCATTGTAAGACTTACAATTTTTAAGAACTGCATTTCTTCTGTATGATTTTACTATTTTATAAGAACTGCAGTCATGTGACTTGTGCTGGTTATAGACCATATTAATAAACTAAACCTAACTATACATATTAATCCTCTGTTAAAGGGACAGAACATTTTCCACTAGGCCTGTTGGCAACCCTAGCAGTCAAATGGTTCAGCACAAGCTATCACCTTCTGTTTCTCTTCTACTTACCCTCTCCTCTCAAGTAAATGTTTACACAGGTGCCAGGCTCCTGGTAGCCTGGATGGCACTTCATATATTTGTAATTTAGTTAACTCCTGTATTATTTACCTGTTCAACTTGTACTGAATTTCATACTCTCTTTCTTGAATTGCATTATATTCATTAAGATATCTCAGGTACTGCTGTCTCAGTTTGGACACTTCGGAAGTGGAACCTTCTGGAAACTGGTCAGCCTTTTCTAGTTCCTGCTGCTGCTGTTCTACTTCAACAGTGAAATGTTTGGCATCTTGTAACAGCTGAATCTCTGATGCCTGTAAACTGAAGTAAAACAAAATTGTTGAACCGCACATTTAGAAAACAAAATAAAGTAAAAATGTACATTGCAAATCACATCTGAACTTTAAAGTTTACAATATCTTTACAAGTTGGGGACCCATGAAAATAGGGGGGGGGGAGAAATGGCTGGAAATCCCCCCAACCCAAATTTCCCCTTCTAGGTACAATAAGCTCGAAGGGGCCTGTACAGTCCTATTTCACTGTCCCCTGCCTTGTTTTCCTTTTTCCTTCAACTGAAACTCGACTGCTTTCCCCATTACAAGCCTCCTGGAGAGTAATGAGCATGTTCACTCCTGATTATGTACATGGAGAAAGGTCTATCTTTTTTTAATTTAGAAGTCACATTTTTCCACTTAGGTAGGTATGACGATCTCACCTTCTGGCCTCCCTCACACTCAGGATTTTTCCTTCTGTCTTCTTTCTTGCTGAGCGGCCCCTTTTTCTATTTTCTTCTTATTTGTTTGTCTATGGCTATCCCACCCAGTCAATTTATTGTTTTGATGCTTTATTATTTTGATGCTGGCCCAGGTCAGGGAACTGAGCAAAGAAACAAAATCACCTTCTGCTTTTGAAATGGCACACAAGAGGCTTTTGAAAGTTAAAAATGAATGTTTTATTTAACTTGAAGGAGAACAGGTCAGGTGGAATCATGTGGAGGATGTAGGTAAACATAATAAAACTTAGGTAACTTGGTATTCACTCAAACACCAGATAATTTGTTGCCAATAAGTATGTGTTCCCGCTATTCAACAAAGTCATTAAAACTTTGAGGAGAGAGGCTTCCTTTTCAGTTTCTGCTTAAACACTCAAGCATAGATTTCTGAGTTTCACTGACACGTAAAGTTTAGAAGGCAGGAACATACAACCAAGTTTTTAAAATCCTTCTTTACACAAACCAGGGATCACTCTTTTTTAGAAGCTATTTTCCCCTTTTTAAAAAATATATATATATATATTATTTTCCATACAAGACAAACACAAAATAGACAAACAAACATACATACAACAAAAGGGGGACTTCCACTTACAACATTAATTTGTCTGTTAAATTACCTCACACATTACCAATTGTATTTTTCAATTTTTTCCCCGCCTTGTATTTTAAATATATCATTGCTTATAACTTTAAAAAAATGGAGTTATATTTCATATTTCCTTGTATTTCTGTTGTATGTCCACATAATTTATTTGTTGGTTTCTTCCTGAAGCTATTTCCCTTCTTAACTGGGCAGGGATCCTAATTCAAACAAAGGGAAATAGCTTCTAGTAAATACAAACTATTTTCCTTTTTTTTTTTGACTGAGGATCCTCCTTGATCCACTCACTCTCATGGTCTCCTTCCCTGACCATCATCAGTGCTTAATTGCCTCTTCTTCAACTGTCAGTTCCCAACTGTCATTGCTTAACTGACTCACTCAAGAGAATTCTGTTCAAACAGCTTGTCTCTCAAAGGTTCTCAGACTCTGTTAGGCATTAACCCTTGATGCAGGGCTGGCCCATCATTGACAAATTTTAGATCATCACCTAGGGCGCTGGCTCGACGAGGGCACCATTCTGGCCTGCCTGCCACCCCACCATCCCCTCCCTTCCCTCGCCTCGCGCCCTGAGTCTCCTTCACTGTGGAACACTGAAGTGTACCTTACACGAGGGAAGAACACACAGACCGACATCAGCAACCGTGCGCGCCCTTGCACCAGTGTGCTCCCCTCCTGACCCAATGAAACTCGTGAGCGCGCTTCCTTAACTGTAAAAGGGGCTCGCCTCCCGACGTCTTGCATGCACCTCTCTGGCACGAGGGGCAGGGTGAGACGGAGGGGAAGGGTGTGTGTGATGAAGGCTGCATGCCTGCCAGTGGAGGAGGCAGGCGGGCGCTGTGAGGCTGCTCCCTGTCAGGCCCATTTCTTTCCTCAGAGAGCACCCCCCCCTGCCCGACGACAGAATGCACATGTGCGGGTTGAGAGAACCGGCAACTGGTCTTCCGCTGCCACGGAGCCCGGGCAGGTGAGTGAGTCAGCTGGGGTTGGCCAGGAGCAGGAGCCACCCGCTCTGTCATTAGGCGGCAGCCGTGGATCTCAGCAGAGAGCGGCCACCCTCGCTGCCCAGCCCAGCCTGCGATTTCTTTTGCAGTATTGCAGGGATTTCTTTTGCAGTATTGCACACAGGACCGGCACCGAGGGGGGGGGGCGCCACATGGTAGCCTCGCCTAGCGTGTAAAAAAACATGGGGCCAGCCCTGCCTTGATGGTCCTTCACAGTGGGAAACTCTCACAAATATTCACAACCCCCAGCACTGCCCTATTTTACTCCCCGCCTGACAGACACTCAACCCTGACATTTGTTACAGGAGGAAATAATAATACCATGAAAATACAAAGTGCTTTAAAGACAAACCAAATGACTGATTCCTGCTCTATTGAAATTAACAAAAACAGAGAGAGAAGCGAAGACAGGACTAGATACTTAATTATCTAGACTATGGAAAGACTACTCCTCTTGTGTAGATAGAATAAAAGAGAGCTTTTATATCTACTAGCCTGATACCCGTTCTTCGCTATGGTATTTAAGTTCCATAAATCCAGTTATAATACTGATGATGTGAAATTTGAAATGTGACATTTGTTGTAGGAATTCTAATGGAGAATGACTGTAGTGTAAGAAATGAAGAGAGACACACATACTTTTTTTTCTCTACTGAAGGACCTCTCTCAAGACCACATTGGAGGTTCTGCCCTCAGGTGCTAGGATCACCAGGCTGCTTGATGAGCTCACTCTGGAGCAGGCCACATAGAACTGTCCATTTAAGAAGCAGACATCTGTTAAGTCAACTCCTGCCACCTCCCACCAAAGTGATGGCCTCTCTACTTGTGTTCCTGGATTGTTTTGCTCCTATGGAGACTGTGTTGTTCTGAGCACCTCAGGGTGATCTTGCTGGTACTTGGCCTGTGCAGCTCAGTGCACTGCAGGAGTACTATGTCCAAATGTCTTTGCTGAATTCCTAAGTTGCCTCCTCCTTGTAGGGTTGGTGTATCTGGCTCGACGTTTGCCAGGAGCTTTCTTGGGGGCAGTAAGAGGTGAGAGGTGTGAGGGGGAGTTAGTGTGAGGGAGTGGTGATGTAGTGGACATTTCTTCAGGTTCATAAGGGAGGCACGCATGGAAATGGCTCCTAGAAATGTCCTTTACTATCTCCCCATAAACATTCATACCCTGGCCCTGCTCCTACACCTGACAGACACCGGCCTGTCTGGTGTTGGAGAGGATTGTATTTAAAGGCATCGGGGAGGCTGGGCCAGCAGCAGGGCTAAGGCAACCCTGCTGAGCAAACCTCCCTAGTGGCAGTAAGCATCCCACCTCCTCTCCTACACCTGACAGGCAGCTGCCTGTCTAGTATAGGACGGGGAGGGGGGAGGAGTATTAGAAGCCACTGTGAAGGCAGGGCCGGCAGGATCACTAAGGCATTACTGCTGGGGTGGGATCCCTCATGGCTTTAACCACCCTGCAACCGCTGCTGCACTTGACAGACAACCGCCTGTTAGGTGTAGGAGGTGGGGGGAGTGTGTTGGAAGCTTTCCTCAACTGTCATTAGCTGTCTGCATACTCATGTAACTGTTGGGTTTTGGGTTTTTTTTACCTCAGAACACTGAGCTCTGCAGCTGACCAATCAGAGAGTGGGGGGTGCGAGGAGGCAGCCACCTGGCAGCCACATAGGAATCAATGGGGGGAACACATTTTACCCCTTTTGACCCCTTAGGGGCCTAATTTCTAAAAAATCCCTTCTTAGTGAGCAACTACGCCATGGTAGGAGTACTCTCCTCGAATTTGGTGTTTCTAGGTCCAGTGGTTTGGCCTGGGTGTTAATTTTACGGTGAGGGGACTTTCTTTTATATATATAGATGGCTAGAATGTTCAAAATATGGTTAAATTATATCTGTAAGCAGAGGATGGTTTCTTTTGTTTTAATAGCTTGTATTGCTTTGGTACTTGTGATTACATAGAAACACCTTGAATGAAAATGAAGTATTTTAACAACATGGGGAAAATAAGTAAGTTAAGCATATGTAGTGTATATATATCCCCTTTTCCATTAAAAATTCTTATAAATTTATTCTTCCAGATTGGTCTCCCATCTAATCATTTGACAGTTTTTCTTGCCTACATCTTCTAAAGACATAAAAGCATTTGCAGGCTATAATTACATCTAGCACAAAACAATGAATCACAATATTTCTAGGTAGAACAAAGTTTGAGTCCAGTGGCACCTTTAAGGCCAACAAAGTTTTATTCATGGTATTTCTGGGTGTTACTTAATATGAGGTCACCTTGCATGTTACAAAGTCCTTGTGTTTGGATGGCACAAGGAGTTTGCATCAGATTTTCAATGGGAGTTTTCTGCCTCCTAAACTCACACATGGCCTTTTCTCCTTTTGATTGCAGCTTCAGCCTTCCTCCTGCATTGTTTTCGTGTCCTCAAATCACCCCTTTGAGTCACTCTTGGTTGCATTGTGGAAATCAAGTTACTTACATGGCTTCATGTAATTTTCATAATCGAGCCAACAGTGGCTCCATAGGGTGGACATGACAATGGCACGGGGGGGGAAGGCTAAAGTTGGTTCTCCCCAGATGCCACAAGGAATAAAAGGCACAGGTCAGTCTGGAAGACAAATACTGTCTCATCATGCAGACTCCTCATAACATCTACCAACAAACACGGATTTTGGAATGTGTGAAATGGCTCTTTAAGGATTTACCAGGAGAATGTACAATAAAGCCTACTATTAACTCACCTAACTAGAGTCTCATGCAGAAGGATATATTTTGCCTTCAGCTCAGATACTCTGGTTCCAGGGATTTTTTCAGCATAAAATAACTGCAAAATGACAAGATTGACAATCGGTCATCCAGTGCTTGACAACACTTTAGATAGGAAAAGTGCATAACAGGAATGGCTTCTGTAACAACTTGCACTACACACTACAACTTGCATATAAATGGAAGTCTACATATTGTCAGAAGGGAGGTCATTCAATAAATAAATTTAACATTCCATTAGAACTCAAAAGATCCTAGCTACTGCTTACAAATACAATCCAACAATTCATATCCGGTGGGGTCAGGCAAACTTCTGATGATCTGCTACTGCTTTGTTGAAAATTATTTCAAAGCTATGGGTTGAATCCTACAACCCCTTTCTGCTAACACCACTGTGTTCCCTCTGTGTAAAGAATCTTCCACTAAAACAAGAAATTCTCCTTGGTGAAAGAGCATCTGGAAAAAGCGGATAGATTCTTATGCCAAAAGAATGAGCTGCTGGTGACGGAATGGATTTACAAATCCAATCCTTTGAGATTAAGGCTCAGATAGAAATCAATAAGTATGTGCTCGAAATCATTTAAAGCAATACCATGCCGGCAGAGTACTTGCAGGGAAAAGGCTATCAGTGTTAATGAAAGATGCTTTTTATGCTTTAATAAACAGAAAATATTCTAGCAGAAAGACAGAATGCATGCAGTACTCTGGAATTTATCTTGTACTTCACTCTTGAAATAAATATGAACTGGGTTTTCGGTGCTTTGGTATTTTCATTTAATTAAAGACCTTTTAATAAAACACATACACATTGCATGGCAAGATGACCCATATACTGTGTTTTGTGGCTATGTCACTAAATCTGATGACTGCAAGAATTCAACAAAGGATTCAGAAAGATTGCTGCTTGTCAGATTATCACTGAGCAAACAATGTGGGCCAGTCACAAAACAAGGCAACTTTTGAATCTCATTACAGGAATAATTTTGGCACCTAGTAGGATACAGTACTTTTAATGGGTTGGAACCATTGATCTAGAGTTCTTGCATAAGTGGATTCAGCCCATTAAAGATTATCTTCTTTTTTGGTCAATATAAACCAGATGATTAAACAATCACAGGAAACAATCAGAGGGAAGGGGTATGAATTTTCATAGAAGTTAATATGTATCGATTTGATTCTGAAACATGTATATTCTTGATCTACGAAAGCACAAATAGATCAACATAGGTTTTGTCGAGTTTGGGTGTCACTACTGTGTAAACATTAGGGATGAGCATGAATCTGGAAAATGTGTTTTGGTTTGTGGTTCGTGGCAGACCAGCAGACCGAATGATGAACTGAACCAAACTAAAATAGTCCCATACGAACCAAACTGGTTTGTTAACTCCCATGACATGGAAGAATGACCATGAAGGGTCCTTCTCCTCTGAGGAAAGGAGGACATCTTGCTGGGTGATTCCCACCATCCAATCAGGGAGGAAGGAACATTTCTTTTAAAACTTCCTGTCTCTTGCCTGTGGGAGTCACCCTCTTCAGTTCTGGTAACTCCAAAAGCCGTAAGACTGTAAAGTCAATTCAAGGAAAGAGAACAAACAGACAAGAACAGAGCGACAACCTAGATAAAGAAAAAACAGGCAAACAGTACTTGTGAGACAAGAAGTGTACCTGCTGAATAACTAGTTTGACAATGACTTTGGGAGGGACAAGATGTCCTCCTTTCCTTAGAGGAGAAGGACCCTTCATGGTAAGTGTCCAATGGTCATTCTCCCTCTGAGGCGGAGGACATCTTGCTGGGACCTCCCAGAGCAGTGTCCTCATTTGCTGGGTGGGCCATCGTCCTCCAGATCTAGAATATATTGTAAGTCACTTCCAAAGGCTGTGTCAGCTAAGTCATAGAAATTCACCTTAGAGTGCCCGACACAGGTGGATATTGACGACCATGTGTTCACCTTGCCTATCTCTTTGTCTGTGGTGTGTTTGGTTAGGGCAGTGTTGGTTGTGGCACTTCGAACTGAGTGTGCAGTGATCCCAGATGGCATTTCAAATATTGAGCTTTGTAAGCTTCAATAATGTAGGTCTTAGGGGTACTGCTGATGTCCAAGTTGACATCTTCCTTCCTTCATTCAGTGGAGAGATAAAGATGAATAAGGAATCAATTTTAAGCGTACGTCTTACTTCCAAGGCCTGCTGCAGTTTGTCCTTCAGATGGATAGGATTCAGGTGAAATGAGGAAGACTAAAATCTTATGGGACCTGTGAAAGGTCAAATTTGCCTTCGGTGTAAAGGCAGTATCTGTCTTCATGACCCTTTTGTCTCAGAAAAATAAGATTTGCATACTCAGCCATTTAAGTGGAATTTCTTTAAGAGGATCAAATAGTGTCTGGCGAAACCGAGAGTATGGTACAAAATTTCTGCATTAGAAACCTTCATCTTTGTGGTGGCTCATTGAGCAGCACCCCTGGGAAGGTGGCGAGCTTGAAGGTGTCTAGATAGGCTCAGACCCTGGAACAGAGGTAACACTGTTGTCAGAGTTGCGGCTTGACATTGTAAAGGAAGAATCCTTGAGCCCATCATATCTCTCTTATAGAAAGGATATAGCCTATTTAGTCTTAGTCTTCAAGAGGTCGATACCTTTTCTCCCACTCTGCCCGATGGGAGTCCTCCATGAAGTACGTTACTGTAAATTAATCTAGCCGGGAATCCATTGCATTTTGTCAAAAAGCCTAGACATAAAGGTCACCTTCCTTGATCTCCAAGCAGCTAAACACAGCCATCCTGAATGTGGAAGCCATACTGGACCTTGTTGAAGCATGTCCAGTGATACTGGGAACGTTAGCAATGGTCGGTTTGCCCTATCCTGAGGGACAGAGAATCATGGTCACTGAGGACAATATGGTTCTAGTACTGTGAGTGCTGCCTTCTGGTGCTTGATCTTCCTGACCAATTTTGAAGGAACTGAGATGGGGGGGGGGGATAGGCAAACATAAAGTCACTTGGCCACTGGGATGTTAAGCCTCAATCACTTCAGCCAGTGGAAGAAGAAACATGGTGGAGCACCAATTCACTTGAAGGTCATTTGGTGGTCAGGTTTTTCTCTGCCCACGTTATGATCTTGATAGCTTCCTTTCGGTAGATGAAGATTTAGACCCTCATTGTATGTTGTTCGTCGGATTAGTACATGTTGACCAGGTATCTGTAGGCTGATGGTAAAGGAAGGTCAGATAAATCATCAAAAGCTCAAGGGGGGTTACCTCGCTCCCAGATCACCGACCCTGTACTGGTGAGCCTTCTAGCATTGTCCCCAACCAGGCAGACTGAGGACTGAGAAAGATCTACTTCACCTCCAGGATGCAGTGTTTCCTTACCTGAAGGGGACTGAGCGTTCTTGTCCTTCCAGTGAGACTGGTCTTTACTGTAAGGGAGCCCTGATGGAAAGGGTCCCCCTTGATCATAACTTGTAGTTGGAAATGTCTTGGAAGCTGCTGTAGTGGTCTAGTGTGTAAGCAAGTTGTGACCATCCTGACACCTAGGTGTTGTACTTTCTTAGTAGGTGCTAGAGAACTTAACTGAAGATTGACCATGAATCTGTAGTTCTGTAGAAAGTATATAGTATTTTCTTGGCCACAGGGTTTGATCTGATCAACAAGATCTACTGAAGTCAGATACTCCTCTGGCTGAAAGGACTCAGTGATGGATCTGAAGACTCCATTCTGAAATATCGTAATGTGAAATGTCTTAATGTACTCTTGGGGTATTTTAAGACTAAACTGCCCTCCAATTTCTGTTCCTTCTTGTCACCATGAAGGGGGAAATCTCGTCCCCCTTTTAAGGGACGAACAGGTTCTATGGCCTGAATGTTAAGCAATGGTGTATAGTAGCAAGAGTTCTACAAGCTTTTTCTGACCTGTGTGTGTGTGTGGGGGGGAGGCATGTGGTGTTCCAGTGGGGTTTGTAAGGACCAATTGCCTGCCTGAGAGTCGGACTACATGTCCCAGAGTATAGAAAATGTGTCGTCGTCGTCCCCCCCCACCAGAAGGTTTTGAAGTTATGCTTTGAATGGCTTATGGCCACGGGTTATTGTTTCCGCTAATAATTATTTGTTGAGTGAACCTTTTCTGAAGGGTTGTCTGGAAGAACCCAGGTTCATCCTTCTGCAATCCTTGTGAAATCTCAGAAGGACACAGTGGAAACTAAAGAAGTAACTCCCGAGACTCCTCTTGTCAGAGTGCTCTCATGTGTCAAGTTTCAATTTAAGTCTTGTCGAGAACGTCCCCAAATGGTCTGATGTTTTAACAAGTATAGGTCATACCTATGGACTTAACATGTAGTGAGATAAGCAAAGGTGGTTTGCTATTGCCTGCCTTTGCATAGTAACCCTGGACTTCCTTGATGGTCTCCCATTCAAGAAATAACCAGTCCTGACCCAGTTCAGTTTCTGAGACCCAACAAGATCGGGCTAGCTTGGGCCATTCAGGTTAGGCATCAGTTGCCAAGCTCTGAGCCATAATCTTCTTCTGACAGCTGTCTCAGATGCCATAGTTCCGGAAAGATGGTAAGGGACCAAAGGTTGTGTTCACCATAGTGAGCTGTAAGAACCCTAATGGCTTCCTCTATCATGCAATGGCTGCTGGCTGAAATAAGTTGGAACAGATTCCTAGAGACAACAGCCACTCTTGAGACTATTGGGACAGGAGCAGGAGCCTTAACAGTCATAGTGGTGCCTTCATAAGCTTCCTTCAGGGCGAGACACTGTCAACTATGCTGCCATGATGTTTATGGGCCAGGGATCGCTTGGCAGCTTCAGCTCTAACTGTTCTGGGCCCCATTCCCACACGCGGGAGTCAGGCCAATTGGCCCAAGGGTGGGGGTGCAAATGAATGCCCTATATCTCTATATGCTTGCTTGAAGGTAGTTATTCCTAACAGTGACCATATTACTGCATCCATAGTGCTGGCAATAAAGTATAACCTTGCTATAAGCGTGTACTTGATTGTTTGACTGTGGGACCTGATAGACACCCCTCTTGTAAAAACTATGCTGGAAAGTGCCCTCACCATCCTTTAACAAAAGCTCAGATGATTGCAAAGCTGTTACTGGAGCATCCATTAGTGGCACCTGCAAACATCAAGTATAAAATATGATAAAACATAGTTTCTAGTAAAACATGTGATTGCTTGCTGACCATAGCTTTTGCCCGTTCAGCGTTTAAATTTTTCTGAAAGAAACTGATAGAACAGGAGAAAACCTCTCTGCTGTGCTACACCTAGGGAGAATTCTTATTCCCTTGACCAATGATGAGTCTGAGAATTAGGAGGGCCTGACTGTTCTTTTGAGGGGACCTCCTGCAGCTCTAATGCTGCCATGGTCTTAGAGAGAGGTGTTAGTAGTTCTCAGGGTTATGGACTGTTCATGAATTTCTGTTTATATATTCAATTTATAACCTGCCCTTCTCTGCATAATAGGGTTCAGGGCAGGTAAGTCAACACTAAATTAAAATAGTATATTTCATCCTCTTTTTAAATTCAAATTCTCTGTGTCCCATAGAGAGTGATCTTTCTCTCTCTCTCTTTCTATTGTAAGATTCCTTCCTAGCTGCCTTAGGGGCCAGCTAGGTCTCTGTAATGTACTCATTCTGGACCGCGTGTGAGGCTAGGGCTCCACGTGGTCAGACTAAGCCATCGAGCTTCAGTCCCTGCCACAAAGGACTCTGAGGATCCTAGCCGCACCTATAGGAGGCCTAGGATCCCAGCTGAGAGCCTATGGAACTCTTGGACACTGTAAATAACCAATGGACGGTATGGGGTGTGTTTAAGGGTGTGGGTTTCTTGCACATATAAGCCAGCCTGTGAGCTGGCTACTTCGTCTTGTTCCTGATCTACTAATAAAGTATGAGAGCTGTAATCACTCATCAGTCTCAGTACTTTTTACTGGCAACGAAGGTGGGATTCTACCTCCCATGAACAACGACCACGAGCCTTGGAGCATCGCATCGAGCCCTAGCGCCGAGATCACCGCACGCTGCTCCATCTCATGCCCCGTATCTCTGTTTGCTGCTCACCACACCACTCCCAGCACCGAGCATCGCACCGCTGACCCCGAGAGCAGCACTGCATTGCTCCCCGCTCCACCAGCCGCGACCTCCATGTGGTTTGGGTAAGATGGCCACTGCCAACGAGAGTCTCCCAACATTTGACATCTCCTGCCCCACACAATGGGAGACGTGGCTCGAAACCCTCGAGAGCCACTTCACAATCAATGATATAACTGACACGGGGAAGAAGAAGGCCCACCTTCTCCGGTACTGTGGGATGGAGGCGCATCTCCTGCTAAAGGTCCTGATAGTGCCTCGGTTCACCAAAGATGACACATACGACACTTTGGTCAAGGCATTGTCCGACCACTTCGCACCCAAGCCCACAAAGTTCATCCTTTTCCATTATTTCGGCCAAGACCTTGCATGCCCTATTTCCTCAAGGGGGACCCCATTTGCACAAGCCACAGGGTTTCAAGTTGTGGGACTTTAATAAGAACCCTGTGAGTGAGTCTACATTTGACTATCATGTAAATTAGTTTTTTAGAAGATTATTTCCATAGCCTTGTAAAAATCCCAGAATAAATTCCTTTAAATTATATTTAAACCATATTTTAAGAATAATTTAAATATTATAAGAGAAAACAGAATCAAGTCAAATTTCACCCACCCCTTTCTGCTATATTGGTAGATCTGGCCTCTGGAGAACAGCTCTATCCACCCGTTTCCACTCTATTGGTAAACCTGGCCTCTGGAGAACAGGTCTACCTACCTCAGTCCACTATATTGGTAGACCTGGCCTTGGACCATCGCCTTGTGCTGAGCCTTAGAAAACATACCAGCACTTTGGAGGGGGGGGGTGTTAGTGAAATATGACAACCAGCATTACAGGTCAAGTATAGCAGAGGTGGGACAATCACTGTCAGAACCTTGCCTAACCTAACAAACAGGAAGTTGCTTAAATGTTATCAATCTGCCCAAATTACTCATCTATTCAAATATTTATATCCCACTTTTCCCTGTGACTCAAGGCAGGTTACAAATCACACTGAAAAACATAACAGGGGTATGAAAAAAATATTTTTCCCTGCTTCATTATAGCCTATGGAGACCATTATAGTCAATGGGTCCTTTAGGTTATAGTGGAGAATCATTTTGGGGTATCTGGGGGGCTGTTTTTTTGAGGTGGAGGCATCGAATGTGCAGCATAGCTGCTGGTGCCTCTCCTCAAAAGCTCGCCCCCAAGTTTCAAAAAGATTGGACTAGGGAGTCCAATTCTATGAACTCCAGAAGGAGGTGCCCCCATCCTCCATT